AGCCAAACACTGACATCGCACGATGGCCGTGCCGTCTTCACAGCAACGAGTTGGCCGCGACGTGACGTCCATCTTCTCCCACCATTAAGGACGACAGAGACATTTGAGCAGCTTCCTAACTCTACAACACCAGCCGAAGCACGACCACGTGGAACATGCAACGACAGTACTGTGACGTGCAGGACAACCTCCAGGCAATGATACGGCTTTTGCCAGTCTCTGGACTGCCACATTCTACCATCACAAGCCATTCCTTCATCCTTCGAGCATTCCACCAAGTCTAGTTTTATGACTTCCAGGAGAAAGTTTGAGTCCACATTCTACCATCACAAACCATTGTTCTCAGCGTCGGTTCTTGTCGATGTGGAAAAGCCATCAGAAACCTGTAGATCTGACCTACTTGTCAAGTAAAATTTGGTGTAGAAGCCTTTGCTCTCTTTCATGAACAATATGAGCAAAATTTTGAAGTAGATAGAGAACTTGAGAATGAAAAGGAATTCATGCAAAATCTTATTATGCTCATCTAACAGTCTGTAAACATACTCTCATTATTCAAGCACATTATGCATTTGACTTGGGCCACAAACGTACTTCTCATACACGGATATAGGGAAGAAAGAACATGGCAAAAACATTCTAATTCCCAAGAGAAATCCATTCAGCTAAAAATCATCAACCTTCAAACTCATGGAATAAGCCACCAAGTCTGTGATATGTTTTACATCCAATAATCTTTACTTGTACATCTTTTGATGCAAGAAAAATGATATTCTCAATGACAACAAGAAATGATGGATTGTTTGATGCTCTGACCTATGCATATTAAATGATATGTTTTATTTGTCAACAAAGGAGTGACATGTTGAGATTTTTACTTTTTGCATGACCAACATATTAAAATAGCATGCATAATGGAACCTTTGAGTTCTTCAGAGATCAATTTCATGTCAGACATACAAATTCCTGCATGACAAATTCTATTTCCTATAAATACATTTGCTTCATTTCAAAATTTTCCCATCATCTAAACATGTTCTTCTCAACAATTTGCCCTGAACAATAAGTATCATAGACTGAAATAATGAAGTATCATGGAGCTATGTTGACATTTATGTGTTCATATGTCTGTTATGACCTCAAGGGTCTAGAATGAGTAATCTGCAAGTAAATTTGTATTCTCACAACAATATGGAATAATATAGTGTTTTCTGTAGTAACAATAACATGTTTTTTTTGTAGATTGTATGATTAGCGTAATGAGATATTAACACATTTATTTTTTTATGAGAAAAGTTTGAGGGCAAAAAAGCCCATAATATGCAGACTCTTCATAAGACATTGAACAAAGAACATGGTACAAATATTCTGATAGCCAAGAGAGATCTAAAGTACAGTTTGGATGGTGCTCTCATTCAAAACCAATTCTTGTTATTTAATGCAATATAAGAATGATATTCTCAAAACCAAGTAGAAATGATGGGTTATTTGCTAGGATGGGTTCTAATACATACAATAATCTATGCATATTCATCGATTTACAAATGATGAGTGAACATTGCCTTGTTATTTTGGATGATCAACATATTAACATCTCTATCATAATAACTTAGAGTTCTTCAAAAATCCATGGTCGATTCAACCTTCTTGATCCATATTTATTTACTAACAGGACATCTTCTTTGTTTCAAATTTTTTACCTCATAACTAAACATGTTCTTCTCAACAATTTGCCAGAATAATCATTGTTGTACATATATAATCATCTAACAATTTGCGAGAATAATAAGTATCATAGACATGTATATATATATAATCATTATTGTTTCCATCACTAATACATTGAAGTCAAGTATAATGGTTTCAAAGCATTGACCAAAAACCTAAGAATCAAATTCATTGTTTACTGAAAAATAATTGTTTTGGAAAGGCAATGAAACTTTAGCACCACTAATTAAAGAATATGATGTTCAAAAGAGTCAAATGAACATACAACAATATACAAGAATCTCAAGATAAAAAGTATAATATTGATCTAAGTCTGTCTCTCAAAAAATCTTAGTTGCACAGATAATATGATAATAAAAGAATTAATCGAACTATACTAGAATGTGAACATCTAAATTGAAATCAATATTTGTCTTGTAACTCACACTGAATATTATCACAATAAAACATAATAAAAACTTTCAATATTTGTCTTGTAAACCAATTTTTTTTGTTTACGTTGTCGATAATAACCATTTGTGAAGCTGAATTCAGTAATCCAAAAAATAAAAATTTCCAATAAGATTAAGAAACTTTAATGCAATAAAAATGACCTCCTATGAATCATGATAACAACCATTTAGAAAGCTAAATTTAGTATAATACAAGCAAAAAATCCTGCAAGAACAAGAAATTTTAATTAGAAGAGCGAAGTCAACCTCCTGTAAAATGCTTTTCTATCACAATTTGGTGTTTAATCATCTAAAACCAACATAATTTCCGAGAGGTTGCCTAAGTGAAATTTCAATCATAAAGATCTGTGAACAAATCAATCACACTGTCTACTAATTAAACTGATGATCAAAGAGAACTCTATGTTTAAGGATCACTAGTTATATGGCATCAAATCCACAAATTAAACCTCAAAACCTTGGATAACAACACACATGGGCAAGAACTCTGCCGGATGTGTGACAAGGTGGACTCTCATAATTTTCTGCATCATGAGCTTATCTGTATTGCTATGTATTATATAACATATCTATCATAGATCTTACATACTACCCCTACATTATCACATCAGAACTGGCCCCTTGAGTTTGTCCGAATGAAACCTTATAAAACCTTCCGAGGTGCTTCGCGCAGCATCTGATACTTGAGTCAATTCCATCTGTTTGTAAGCATCAACTTCTTTTAGGATGCAAACACCGACAGTGGTCGTAAATGAAAGGAAAGAGTAGAAACATTAGTTCTTCAGTCAACTTAGGTATTAAGGGAAAACAAAACCTAAAAGATCTCCAAAGTGAGCCTCAGCATATAGCCTTGTGAAACATTAAGGGCGTTTGTTTTGGTTTTTCCAACCTGTTCTATTTTGCCGCTGCTCAAATCGGCCTAAGCATAACTCTTGCTTTCCGTCCCTCTTTCTTCCCTTAAACCTCCATAGAAAGGAGGTTTTAGGCTCTTCTCTTTTCCCTGCACAGATCTTCAAGTTCAAGTTTCTTCCAAGATGATAAAGAAAAAGAGGGGGATTAAGAGGAAGCAAATAAATCGACGACATAGAACACGAGTTGCATCAAATAAACCAGTGGAAGAAAGTACAAGTAAAAGAAGAAAAAGAGAAGAAACCTTACTGGTACTGTGAAAACAAATCTGGATGGAGATCTTGATTCTGGGGAGGGGAAACCCAAACAATTTGTTACCTCCTTTGGTGCTTTGGTGGCCGTGTGATGGTAGGAAAGGAAACCAAAATGGCATATGGTTGCATTTGCCGCTGCACCTACATGGTGGATGTAAACTCGTTTTCTTCACGGCCACCCCGCTCCCCTTTAGGTGCAGGTGCAAATGCAGCCATATGAAACCATCTTGGGCTCAAAGATATTTTTGCAGTAGGTCTCTCTCTCTCTCTCTCTCTCTCTCTCACACACACACTCACACACACACACACACACACACACACGCACGCGCATACCCTCTCTCTCTCTCTCGGACAAACACACATTCTGTCTCTGTGCCAACTGAAACCATTTTTAGCAACACACATTCCCCTTTCTCTCGCACGCACACAACAGACACCTCTCCCTCCGCCATCAGAAACCATCTTGGGCTGCAAGATGTCGGCAGTGGAAATATAAAACTCTCTAATTTGCAGCACAAAATCTCTCTACCATCTGAAGAACACTCGTTTCCCTCTCTCTCTCTCTCTCTGCGAGAGATCTGGAGATATCCAGAAATCTCTCTACCATCCGAAGAACTCTTTCTCTCTCTGTCTGCGAGAGATCTGGAGATCTCCAGAAATATCTCTACCATCCGAAGAACTCTCTCTCTCTCTCTCTCTCTCTCTCTCTCTCAACAAGATGATGTCCAAAGCTGTGGGCAGAGATGCCTCGTTTGTGCTCATATATATAATAGGAGGGCTTCAGGAGAGAATGAAAGGGACTTCCCACTCCTGTTCCGTCTTGGAGCTGTTAAGAAAAGCAAACGAAAAGGAGCACATGTTGTTTTCCCAACAGCCGGTGGGGCCGGCGTCCCGCCCTCACGTGAAGGAGCGTGGCTATTCACGTGGCCTCGCCCAATCCGACGAACGCTAGCCCGCTCTTGTCTCCCTCCTAGTCACACGGCCGTGCATGTCGTTCGCCACGGGACGAGGGGGGGTTGGCCGGCCCCCAGCCGTTCCTTGGGCCTCCACGCTGCCCGTCACTTGCTCGTCAATTCGTGGGCGCGGATCCTCGTCGCCAACGCCTACGATTAGCCTCCGGAAGAATCTGTTCCATGACTTGGACCGTTCGTTCGGTAGCGCATATCTGCCGACACACCACAGCCGTGAATTTGCTGGGGTTCAGATAAGAAAGATATGGAAGCAATTAATGTGATCAGATAAGGCGCATGATCACGATGTAGGATGCTAAAATAGACACATGGATTCGAATAATGTAAATTTGGTCGATCACATTCCCCACTCATGAAGTGCAGATTTTTGTGTTGCAGATGCTGATGAGCTTGTTTTTGCCCATCGCCACAGACCGGGATGGTCTCGGAACTCTTGCCTTCCTGCAACACAAATATCAATCGTAGGAGGATTATGATTTTTTTAGTGAAAAAAAAGCTGAGATATTCCTGGTGATTTTATCAACATGATGAATTTTTAGAACTAACGATTTACATGTAATTTTATCAATTCAAATGCATGATGCGACAAAAGTCCAATAGTAATGTCCTCGATGTCTACTAGATGCACACCCACGGCTTATCATCCCAAAGTTGAACTTGAGGTTGCATGACATTCATGAGATGCTCTCTGATTAATAGAACGGTTCTTTTTGCTTTGCTTGTTTACTTTCTTCACCTAATACCATTAACACAATTTTTTCTTGGGGTCGAATGGTGACGCCAATGCATTTTGTTTTTATACAAGAACACCCCCATGACAAAAAAATACATCTACTTAATTTAGCTAACGAGAAGGGCAGACAAAATTTCCACACTAGCAAAGAGTACTGCTAATCGTAAAGTCCTTCCTCCTGCCAAATGTCGACCAAAAAATCTACCATCTCCTGTAAAATAAATTACAAGAATTTGGAAATGAGAAAATCTATCATGTAGAACTAATCTCAAACGCTAAAAAAGAGATGACACAAGTGAAGCAACCCAAGGAGAACTCACAGATACTGGGATGGGTTGTGGAAAAGGTCGGTTGGTCGAGAGCAAATCCTCGTAGGTTGCACACCAGCTACAGACAAGGGAATCAAGGTTAACGACAAGGAAAGCAGAGTTCACATGAATTACCCAAACACACACAAAGAGCTTCCATCATTACCTTGTTAACACAGCTTGGATATATAATCTACATGGCTAAAATACATCGTGTGCCCATGCATGTAATTCTGGAATTATTAGTTACAATAGTTCAGATTCCTTTCTCCTTAGAATCCTTTTTTGTGTGAAGGAATCATGTATCAATCAACTTGGCCAAACTATTGAAAGTTAAGACAAATGTAAATGATGAGCCAAGCTGTAAAAATCTATTCTACTTTCTGGTGGTACGTAACACAACCTAAAATCAGTACAGGCATTGGGTTAGAATTGAGGGGTCTATAATGAGTGTTCTAAAATGTTGATGTTTCATATGTTCAATAAACTTTGATGGAATACAGATAATGATAAATGCCCAGAAACATCATTGAATTCATATTTACTTGGTTGTATAGACATGCATATTTTCTGTTAAAACATTCTGAAGATCTAATGCACATTCAGGTAGCATTATGGTAAGAAATTGGTGCATCACACAAACAAAAAAACGTTTTAACTAGTAAATTTCCCTTCAAAACCTGACAAGATAAGTTCAAAATCCATCGATTACCTAATTCAAGCAAGAAAAAATATAAGCACATTAAAAGAATATCATATGCCATCAGTACATTGGCATCTATGTTATCCCAAGTTGCACAAAAGAAGAACGTTTGATCTTGACCTTATTGTCGGTTCCCTTGGAGCTCTGTGGGGCCTTTTTGACCGATCTCCAACCCACGCCCTTCTCATCTCATTCCAGGCTATAGCACCTACCGAACATAGTGGACATTATCAGTGATACCAAGAGAACGGTTTGGATTTTCAAGTAATAATTATCATAAATATTTTTTATTTTTGCAAATATCCAGATAAACATCTAGCTCAGATGACTAGCCTATAGATATATGAGGTAACCAAAATTGAGATTTAGTATTGCATATACAACATTAATATGAACAATCCAATCAAAAACTTCAATTCCTTGCTGAAATTTTATTAAAGCTATATTTTTATTTCCGTAAGTTATTAACAAGTGGAAGAGGAGACTATTAACATGGATGCAGATCACCACTCATGCAATATTAAAAGAAACTATAAAATTGCATGATGTTAAGGATCTGATTGTCTAATTTTAGGAGCCTAAGCCTGTCTATTGCACTTTCTTCAACTAGCAAGCAACATCACCAAGCCTTGCTAGTTTTTTAGTTCTTACAATTGTGCAAGTAACATCTTTAATAGGCACATGTAGGCAAAAGGAAACATTCACTCCTGATTGAAAAGACCAAAGCAAAGCTCTTCACTAGAAAAAGAATTGTTCCTACCTAAAAGCATGAACCACACATCTCAAGCATTTGAGAATGGGCCTCAGTGTCATGAGAAGATTGTTCCTTTGCGTTTAGATGATAAGGATTCGAGTCGCGAAAACGTGTTAGTACAAGGTAATTCTTGATATGTACATATTTCAGGTAGTTGTAGGTTATATATTTAGTTGTGGCCATCATTCACAAGTGTGACCCAACTGCATGTTGAAGAACTTCCCAGAGATAGAACATATCTTGTCAATAGAATTTTCACATGAATATCTATAGTTTAAAGACTAGTAAGGATCTGAATTTTTGCAGAATAGACAATAATTCATAAATGCTCAAAAAGAACAAACTTTAAAGGTCTGCAGACATTGTCCATAAGCTACACACAGGCAAGCTCCTCCAATATTTCTGACTATTTGCTATTAAAGATTTTATTGACACTATTGCTTAAAGCCAAACACAGCTTAAGAGAACACAAATTCAAGGAAGCAGCGAGGAAAAACTCATGGTCATATCTACATGTTATGCAGAAAAATCAAGAGACTAAACATGAATATTTTCATGCTTACAGGAAATACAGATATAATGGATGTCATAAAAAAGTTCCTGAAAAAACTGTATTTCTACAGTAAAATAGAAGCAGGCCTAATATCCTATTGCAGGAACCATTTTTATTTCACCACAGACTCCTCTAATTCCTTTAGCTCTAATATTCACAGTCCATTTTAATAGAAACTTCCAATTTTTTGCCTTTCCAACTACAGGCAATGAGAAAAAACAAGCTCTTTGAGCTGTGGTCCACGACAACCAATACAGAAACTTCTTGCCATATAAAATGAATATTAATCAAATATTTCAAAACACATGTTTCACAAAAAAGTAGAAAAAAAAAGAACACACATAATAACACATTAAACAATAACATTGTTCATTGTTGAAACCTCCAGTAATGATATAAATTCTTGAATCTTGATAGCCAGAGTTATTTCTGGATATAGTTCTTATAGCATAAGTCTACGGGTATAAACTATCCAAGGCTATAGTTTGGGCCTTCATCTAACTATAGTTCCAGCATTCACTTTCCTAATAAAGAGGCTTCAATTTTTATTAATGAAGTAAGCAAGGTGAAAGCATGACATCAGCAAAAGGCCTAGCATCAAACTGCCAAAACATGGCACCTCTGTGTACCAACACAAAGTAGGATATAATAAATGCAAAGAATAGTGAAACATATAAAATTACCAGTAAAGAAAATTTTCAATGTCAAGTGCAAACATATGTGAAGCAAACAAATATTTAACTATATCTATAAAAGACACATGGAAGCCATTCTAAATACGAAAAAGATATACAGAGAGACAGATAAACCTTGGTTGACGAATGAAACATTGTTAGCATTTTCCTCCATTAACTTGGTCTCATCATTGACAGTAGTGGGACACGAGGAGACATTCGTCACCAGGGAAAGAGAATTGCTAACATTGTTTTCCATTACTTCAGGTTCAGGACTTGATGACCATTGTCTTTTCTTCTGGATGGATAACTGGCCTATGTTCCGCTTCTTGGGTGGACCCAATATTCTATCATTAGCTGATTGAGATTTCGCTAGCCCTCCAACACAACAACTGCTCTGTATGAAGATAGAATTATACACTCCTAATGGACAAACTACTGTAAGGAATAACTAATCTATGATGTACAATGCACCATCAAATGATAGGCAGAACTCACTGCCTAGAAAAAAGATTTTTGACAACAATTAAAGCAACACTCTCATGATTCATCATCTTTAAGCAAATATGGTACTCACCCCATATATTCTAAGAGGAAAGTTGCTTCAAATGTGCATTTGAATGGCACTATGAAGAATTTACACTTCTACCACAACAAAATGTCAGGAAGTTCTCATCCTGTTCCTTTGTAATCTACAAAATATAATCAAACTGTAAGAACAGTAGAAAGGATTTCTAGACAATCTTAATGAAAACAAGAGCTGACAAGTAAGGAACACATATCTTCCATAAAGTAAAAGATGAAATGAGTCATTCGGGGACGAATAATTCACAGCCTGTGTTGGTACTTTGTAAAAATATGACGAGCAAAACAGGAAAGGTTTTTCATTTGAAAGAAACTAATATCAAAAACTGTATCACAGTAAAGGAAAGTTGATGCAACCTTTGCAAAAAGTATTGTTTTCTTTCAGAAAATTTGTTATTCTAGCTTTATATGAATAATCTTACAGAAGTCAAATGTTATGGAAGGCAATATGGAAAGCAAACACATATAAACACATAATACACTGGCAATTCACAGCAATGAAGCTTGATGATTATAAGACAACTGTTCAAACATGCTACATAAACTAAAACTGAACCATATACATGCAAAAGGAAAAATAATTAATTCCATAAACCAAACTTTTATTGAGTACCGTATAGTCAGAGTATTGAACCATTGAGACACAACAAGCTTGAACTGTTTCACATCAAGATCAATAACAACAAGCCATAAATCCCAAATATTTGGGGAAGGCTGAAAAGACCAAGTTTCAATATTAAAAAAAAACCTATAGTCGGTCAAAAGCTAATGTTAAGAAGCAACTACAATATGCAAAATCTACAATGGGCATGTTGATGTTTCATTCTCATTTAAGCCATGTCAACGTCAAGGGAACATTTCTCAGATCCTATCTCAATCTTCATCTACGAAGAATTCCCTTTCTTCTTACCTTCATATCTTTTGTCATTCGACATAAAGAAATGCCGATCTTTTTCATATCTTGCACCACCTTCACATTTGTGCAATCCAGAACATTTCTCATCCTTTGTGAACCACAAAAAAATTCTATTTTCACAGTTGTCTCTGAATAAATCCATGCACTCTCCGAATAAATCTTTGTATATTGTTGTATCAAACAGATTATCCACAGAAAAAAATTAGAGAGCAACTCTTGTGCATCAAAAGCAGTAGAAGTTATTCCTATGTTACACAAGTTCTCACACATGCAGCTGAATTCATAAGGACCACAATCAATGAGGCAAAAGCAACAATAAATTGGCCTTGTGACAGTCTTCAGCACATAGCTGAATCCTGCAAATGAATCACACTGTTGATGCTTGAGCACCAAACTGAAAGAAACAGATCGATAAACATTCATGTTTCTGATAAATGAAACCCAATATTAAGTTTGCAATTTTAGTTTGCTCATCAAGCTTAAACAACATTGATATCAACACAGTCAGGTTCATGGATATTAGGCTTCAACATAAAGCTGTAATTCTCTAAAAAATCACAGGCTAATCTCTTCAAAAGATTCTTACAATAATATAAAAAAGGTAAACTTTGAAGAAGAATATATCCTAACTCTGCTGTAAGCTTGCAAGTAACACTCAATTAGTAAAACAAAACACAAGATAAAGAAATGGATGCTTGATAAATCAACAAGTTTGGCTACAGAACAACAACAACAACAAACCCAATCTATAACAAAAAACTTGATACAGTCTCATGCATAATATACCTTATTGAGATTTAACGGGACAAAATTTTGAAGCCCGATGATTTGGCTAACTAAGCCATCGTTTTGTCATGAACAATCGGCGCGCACCTACAACAACTTCGCTTAACGAACCGTTCGTCGCTTTTGTTTACATGTACAGATGCTTGGCAGCATGGTTTGCCTTGGTTTTGTGATCTTTTGCTTGTAAAAATGTAAGTTCGAACAAGTTGCAGCGCTACAGTGCGACCGCTCACCACACCGAGCAAAACAGCCCAAAATGGCTCCGTTTTCACGTGTTGCGAGCTGTTTTCGGTAGCCCGTTGCCGCGCGCGAAACGTCAGCCATCTCAACACCCTGGAACCACCCAGGTGGCACCATGGGGGATGGGGCTTCGGTATAGTGTCGGGCGTTGAACATTATTTACAAGTTCGCACGTTTTCTTGACGGGAACTTGTCTTCGTGCCCGGTACCCAGTGAGCAGCTTTTTGTGGACTTGCAGTCGTTCGTTCAACCCTCTAAAGTCCTTATTTTTCTCCTTTATATGTTTTCTCTCTTACACGCAAGGTGCTCGCTAAATTGCTTGTAAAGCTTCCCTCTTCGCGATACGTCGGGACTTGTCTGTCGCTCGTTCTTCGAACTAATCAACTTTCTCTTTTTACAGGTCCTTCGGGACCTGAGTGAGGTTGCAAATTGGTTGACCTTTGTGGACGTATATCGCAAGGGCGCGTCAAGACTTACGCGATCCTAGCTAAGTCCGAGAAGTTGACGCAAAGGTGCTTCGCGACTTTGGCAATGCAAGCTAAGTTCGCGTCTTGGCTACAAGGGTGCCTCACGACTTAGCCAATTCTAGCTAAGTCCGTGACAGTTCGTTACCTTTCTTCCTGAACAAACTCAGTATGAATTCCATAATATAAATTTGTGTAAGTCCATTAAACAAGGTTTTAGAACATTTCTCTACCAAGGATTTAAGCATGGTATATACAAATATCTATCCACTATTGGACAATCCAATACGAGGTACCATGCCATATTGCTGAAACAATAATACAAAAAATATTTTAAGTCCTTATGAGACCATTTTCTTCCCTCACGATATACCTAGTATGGTTACTACTACTCTACTGATTAGCATTCTGCAAGAGAATTGAATGCTAATTATTCCGAATGATGACGTCAGTAACAATTTTTTTAGAAGATGGTAGACAATTAAATATTCTTTGAAAACTGAATTGCTACGTATTTAAAAGACTCGAAGACATTGAATCCACGGCCCAATCTTCAGAGTTTAACCTTGCACCATATCAATTTAAATTTAGCAATCTTTTCAAACGCTTCACAACAAATTACCTAAATGAACAAGAAAAACCCCATTCATCTTAGTTTGCGACCTCTATATTGCAAGATCCAACAAGAAACAGATCACGAGCTGTGATCGTCCCTAAGCTCACAGTCGAAAACCCTAATTTGATCACACCACGAGCTACGATTCAAGGACCGCCATCATACGAAGACATATCACGAACAACAATTGTGAACGATCCTAAAAAATATGAGAAAAGCAGCGCAAAGAAACCCAAAAGTAGCAACTCCACGAACGATTTATCCAAGAAAATCAACACGTCGCCGCGTCAGGATCACCAAGACATACCCTGTCAGTAAACTCGAGGAAAATCCCAAAAGATCGCGTCCAATCAGAAAAAAGATAACCATCAGTTCCGCAACGGCGACATGGAAAAAAGCAAGAGAACAAAAAAACTGATCGACCACTCAATAAACTCTTGGAAGAATAAAAAAGTCGAAGAATTTGCGTGGGATCGGTCGAGGAAACTAGAAATCTGAGGCTAATTGCAGAGATTCTTCCAAGTAGAGAAAGGGGAAGGAAGAGAATTATACTCGTTGTACGACCCTTCTTGCTTTCCCCCTCGAACCACTTCGTGGTCTTCACGCACAGACGGTCGAGCTGGGAGCATATGTGGAGGCTCTTCCAACCGAGAAGAGCGTTGCTTGATATACCCCCACTTACATCACGACTTCAGTATCGACTGTTGTCGTGGCGCACATCCATCGGCCAGATGGGTGTGTGTCGGTGCCAATGCGGTTTCCAATGTACGACACGTGTGAAGCATATGATTCGTGTTTACCGTTACTTCTCGGAGAGAAGATTTCCAGTTGTTGTCGATCATGCTGGATTATGTTAAGAGCTATCTTGATCAAATTACATTTAAGTGTCACTGCACGTGCCACCGCCAAGGCACTTCGAGTTCTTTCATCAACGCCGTCGGTGACTGGGTCCCACTCCATCGCGGGTACGTTACCACTCGACGCCTACAGCCTGAATCACCCTTGAAACTATCAGGGACGATGTGGTTCCTCTGTCACAAATTGCAGGGGTGATTCAGTGGGATTGGCAGAGGTGCTTGAAGCGGAGTCCGAGTCGCCTCCGCCAACCTCCAGTGCCGTGTCCAACAAGTAAACAAGTGCCTTTTCTTCAGATCCCGTCACCGCGGGCAAGCCCTAACCTGTCTTCCCTCTGTTCGGACGCTCTTCCAGAGATCCATCCATGGCTTCTTCTAGGGTTCTTTCCCCGCGCCTCTGGTCCCGGCTATCTCCCCTCCTCCGCGCCGCCGTCCCCGTCACCCGTCATTCTCCGCCGCCTGACCCCCCACTTCTCCTCCGGCCGTTTCCCACCCCTCCGCCGCCTGCCTCCCCCGCCGCCCTCTTCCTCCGACACCTCTCTACGGTCTCCCGCCGGCATCCATCCCGGTCCCACACCGTCGACATCGGCGCCCGAGCCCGGCAGCTACAGAACCGCCGCCTCTGGACCTACGCTCTGACCTTCAGCTGCGTCGCGGGGTTCATCGTCATCGTCCTCAGCAACTTCCAAGATCAGCTCGTCTTCTACATCACCCCATCCGACGCTATGCAAAAGTTCGCCGCCAATCCTTCCAAGAACCGCTTCCGCCTCGGTGGCCTCGTCCTCGAGGGCAGCGTCGTCCAGCCCACCCCCACCTCCCCCGAGATTGAGTTCGTCATCACCGACCTCGTCACTGACATCCTTGTCCGCTTCGAGGGATCCCTTCCCGACCTCTTCCGCGAGGGCCACTCCGCTGTCGTCGAGGGTTTCTTGAGGCCCTTGAACGAATCTGGTCGGTCGGCTCCTGTTGGATCAGTGGTATCGGAGAAGGCGAGGAGTGGAGATTGTTTCTTCAAGGCAACCGAAGTGCTGGCGAAGCATGATGAGAAGTATATGCCCAAGGAGGTTGCAGAGGCGATCGAGAGGAATAAGAAGAAGATCAAGGCGGAATCAATAGCAAAAGCCGCTGAGAAGACAAGTTGAGATTGCTTCGCAACTCCAGGTTGATTTAGACGTCAAATTTTTTGAATTATTGAGTTAATTTTAGGTTGGTGGTTACCAACGGATACGAAAAATCCAATTTTTATTATGATTATTATGCGGCTTTACATTGGTGTAACCTGGAACCGATCAACACATGGATCCCAACAGTCAGGTTGAGAATAATACGAAGGGGACTATAAGCATGGTATAGTTTAGTACTTTATGATTTATGTGTCCGATTTGCTGTAGTTTAGTTCATTAATAATCGTATTGAATTGTCCGAGATATCAAGCTGCATTGTTAATGATAAAAAACCCAATTTTTTGACCTAAATTCTGAGATTATATTTGTTCATTCTGAAATGGATATCTTATAAGGAGATGCTTTGGTTTATTCAAAGATTACGAGGCATCTTGTTCGCTTCTGTTCATGGTTCTTCATCAAAATATTCAGTTGTTTTTGTAAAGCTATATTGTGCTGTGTTCAATACCTCTATCATCACAACATCATGTCTCAGACTATATCTGGTTATCAAACTTTCTGATGGAGTTTTAGGTTCCAAATGTTCTTTCTTTTTGTATCCTTGTATGGTTTGTGTTGCAACTGTTATTGAATGTTTTTGTCCCTCTTTGCTTGAATACCATATTGTCTTGAATTCTTTATTATTCACTAAAATTAAGAGCTCCTATGAAGTGTAATTTTTAACTGTTGCATTTCCAATAGTTCCTAGGTAGACAGAGGTCCATAATTCTCCCATCATGGCGTAGATTAAAACAATGTGGATGGACATTCATCCAACCCATTGAGGGCTTGCTTGAAAATTGGACCATTACCTTGGATGGTTTTGTTTGATTAAATTCGGTTGGATGGCTGTCTTTCTGTTTTTATAAGTCCCTTTCTTATTTATGTAATCTCAGTACTGGCATAAAAATATGGTGCTTTGCTTTTGTCTTTTATTCTATGTTCTTTCAACTGTTAATTAATTAATTTTAAATCTGCTGGAGCAAAAGGATTTTATGTTTTTGGCATGATTAATGCATATATCTGAACATACATAGTCATACATGAGTACACATGCGTATATACATATGTGATCAAATAATTGATAGAAACTCATGATTTAGTTTGTATATATTTGCTTCTCTATTTGATACTAGTAGGACTTTCATATAACTGCACAGTAAGTGTGCAGAGATATAACTATTCTTCAACCATCATAGGTCATATTCTACCTCTTCTACCGGCTATTACTCTTCAGTAGATGAGACAGTACGAAGAACTAATACATCCGGATGCCTTCTGAGCTTCAAAATTTTAACACTTGGAGCTCTGGAAGATGCAGGGCATAATCAATTTAAGGAATTTTCTTCTGGCTGAGGACATGAAATATTTTCATCTATTTCTATAAAAAAAAATCAGCTTTTAGATATATGTCTCTTAGAAACAATGACCAACCTGTATGAAGTGTTACTATCTTTTGAATTGCATCACAATTAATTCATTGTATTTTCTGTCCTAGATCAGAGACTTTTTTTGGCATAGAAGTTTATGCACAATTGCTCAAGTGTTCTAGTTATCACTGTATGGTGAGAGTGCTTAAAAGATTAAGTTTGTTTATCTTCAATCGTCATAGGCCATATTTTGCTCTTTTAGCGGCACATTAATCTTTGTTAGAGATGACAGTGAGTTTACATCACTGCTGTTCTTTTGACTGATTTCTCCTAGTTATGCTTGAAATTGTGAAAAATGGAGTACCTCTGTAATGGATATGGAGTATTCCAAGTTCTGAAAGATGACTGTTAAGTGTTTGTAATCCTAACTTATTCAATCATGATAGACATTGGAGAAAGAAGAGAAAATAAGGATATATGAATGTAGGCAACATCATGCTGTTTCATGATTATATGTTGTTGGTTCTTTTAATTATGATCCCATTTTTGAGTGTCCAGTTCATTAAGTCCATTAAATCATGTTTCATTTCTACTTTGATTAGAATGTTTCTGTAACATAATCTCACTTTTTTTTTTGGCATGAAAGAAGAAATATTATGTCAAAATTCTGTTACAATTAGCTCCATGCTTCTAAGAGCATAAATCATATATCAAAAAAGGAGGTCAGTTAATCCTCCAAACTGTATCCATCTGAAAATGTTTAGTATATAGTGTCAATAAATGAGCATTTCTATTTCTCTTTGTAGACACTAGAAATCTTTATATTTCCTCCAAACTGTATTCATCTTAAAATTTTAGTGTATAGTGCCAATAAATGAGCATTTCTTATGCTCAATTTATAGACACTAGAAATCTTTATATTCAATAAAGAAAGAGTTGAAAATATTGCTACTACAGTTCCTAAAGAACCATGGAGGTGATTCCTACTTGTTCATAACTTTAACCAGGGTGAGATCATCAGCTTCCGGTTTATCAAGAAATCTTGCTGTCTTGAGAGCTCAGTTCCTACTTGTTCATGACTTTGTGACATGCCCAAAAAATAAATCTCGACTGCCTTGCATGCATTTGAGTCATGGTATACAATTTTGAATAGTATCATTTGGTATTGGTGGTATATACCGGTCCGACGGTGTATCGATATACGGATACCGGATAGAATGTACTCCAGTATATAAAACTGTAGCAATGTCACATTGTAGCAATGCTTCAGTACTATAATAAGAGGAAGAAATATATAAAACCGTTTGGTACATTCTGCTGGTGTATCACTCGGTACGTCCTGATGTATCGCTCGGTACATGATATCATATCGTACCAAGTTAACCTCGAAACACCGGTATGGTACGATATTACATACCTTGATCCGAGTTAAGTTTATAGCTTGATCTGAGTTAAATTTAATCCATCCAGGCATTGATATCTTCCATAATACATTCTCTGTTTCGCTTAAATACTTTATTTATCTGTTATTTCAAACAAAAAGAAACAACTGCCTCAAATTCCAAAACAAAACATTCAAGTGTTAATTTTTCTTATACTTGAAACAATCTTCCTTATTCTTTCTGCTGCAATAAAAGCCATTATTCATATTTAATTTTCATGAATTCAGTGACTTCAATTTTCTCTTGCTTTGACATCCATCAGGTAATGCTGACTGACATCATGTCATTTGCATTAGATAAAAAGAAGAAAAAGAACCAGAACGTGATGTGTGAAGAGTCGCCATCAGATCTGGTGGAACACAACACTCGGATAGTAATTGGGTAGATTAGATCCCTGTCTTCTACCCCCACTGCATTATATTTACCGGAACACACTACTTCTGGCACGGCAGCACTCACCGTAGAGAGCGACCGCACACCTATCGCCAGCTTTTTAGTGGAGAAGAAGAAGAAGCTGCCGTCCATCTTTTCTATGGACGATACCGTCGATATTAAAAGAACGGCCGACAGTTCCACCACCCACTTCTTGTCCACACCACATAGAACATCATAATTTACTTTGTATTATTATATCCGATGAACAAGCTGTAAATAATTAAATTCATGCACAAAATAAAACAGGTTAACATTTATTTATTTATTTATTTTTGTTTGGTATAAGGTAAAGCACGTGGTGGGCATCGGCATGCACGAGGTGGGGAACTGAACTCCCAAGACACCATAGATTCTTCCACAAATCCATGCTCTCTTCCCTTGTCTACACGCCATGCCATCCCCACCTTTCCTTCTTCACCTCTTATTATTTATTTATTGACTCGGTTTGGCCTCATGTCGTCCAAGCAAACCAAGTTTGAAAGCTTATACTATTTTATGCCTTTCCACATGACCTATTACACACATTTGGTATATATATATGGTTCCTCACAAAATGAGTACATTTAGGTCAAATTGGATCCACCGTACACCATTTCAAACACTCCACCGCTTAAAACACTGCTGCCTCCACCAATAAAAATACCCAAAAAATAATAAGATTGATGGATACTACATAGAAATATATCGTGCCAAGGGCGGTGGATAATTCAACCAAGACGCCGCCGCCGCACCGAAAGCCCCGCCCCCGTATCGACTGCTCTCGAACGCGACAACCGGCGTCCTCCACGCAACCACCAGCTGTCTTCCACCGACTCGAGCAACGCCGGCGAGCTTACCTCCATGCCGCGTCCCCCGGCGGCCGCCGCCGCCGCCAAGATCGGCCGAGCTTCCCCTCGAGCGCCCGCAGCGCGTGCCATGTCGCGTCCCCCGCCGCCATCGGCTGGTGGAACAGCAGCGCGTTCCGCCGCGCCGGATCCCACAGGTTCCGCTGGACTGCCGACAGATTGGTGGCTGCCACCCGGTCCAGTACCTCCTCCAGCCGCCCGACGTCCGCCTCCGCTACCGACAGCGATATCTCAGGCCACCGCACCGCCTCCGGGAACGGAAGCCGGATGCCGTCCGCGATGACCACCGGCACGCAGCCCAGCGCCACCGCCTCCACAAGCCGCGGGCTCCACGGCGCCCACCCCAGCGGGCACAGGCAGAACACGGAACGCGCAATCTCCGCCCGGTACCCGTCGAACCGCTTCCGCTGCAGGTAGAACTTCTTGTTCCCGCCGTACCGCCGCAGTATCTCCGTCCTCACCCTCCTGTGGCACAACATGTTGGATGAAATGCGCCCAGGTTTACGTCATGTGGGTTACCATGCTTACTTGCTGTAGAAGCGGCCGCTGATGTTCTTGGGATGAACCTCCATCTTGCCGCGGAAGAAGGCGAAGATGTCGCGCTTGGCCTTCTCGGGCGCTGGCCACTGCTCTTCGATGTCCGGCGTCACGTAAGGCGGGATCAGGACGTTCTCCGCCTTCTGGCACGGGTGCGGCGAGCTCACCCCGAAGGTTTGCAGGATGATGGATTCCCTCATGAACTCCGGTATCCCATCAGCGATCGCCACGTCTTCCTGCATTAATCGATGCCGGGGTTTTAGTTCCGGAGCAAAAAGATGGAGTATTGATGGTACGGGGAGAACAGGGGGGAACTCACCATGGCGTGGAAGCAGGCGCCGAAGTCGTGGGAGGCGACGAAGACGTGGTCGCGGCCGCGGGAGCGATTCCAGAAGGGGAGGCCGGCGGAGATGAAACGGACGGCGGAGGAGATGAGAGGGCGGGCGTGGTGGAGGGCGGGGAAGCCGTTGGGGGTGCTGAAGTTGCAGGAGACGTAAACGGGGACGAAGAAGAAGTCGGCCTCATTCGGGTCGAAGACGCGGCCGGGGTACTCGAGCAGCGCCTCGTGGATCGCCACCTCCGACGCGAAGAGGTGGTTGCGGCACCTCGGGTTGGACAACCAGTCCCTGTTGTAGCTCGAAGGTAGCTCGTAAACATATATTCTAAGAGCAGCAGCAGCAGAAGAGGTGGTGAAGGAGGAGAGCTGCTGGGCTTCCGCCAGAGCTCGGGGAGTAGTTTTAAGAGGAAGACTGGTTCGAAGTGGAAGAGGTCGGAACAAGGAGGAGGAGGAGGAAGAGGAGGAGGTGGAGAAGAAGAGGTAAATGGAGAGAGCCGACCAAAGGATCCACTTGTAGTACTTCTTGAGCAGGAGAGCCTTGTCATGGTGGTGGCGGAGGTGAGCTCTTCTGGGCAGGAGCTTCATGTGACGAGAAGAAGCGGGGCAACAGCCGAAAGTACATGGCCTGAGCTCCGGCATGGGAGCCAGCTTAAATCCTCCCCCTCGAAGGGAGGGTCGAGGTGGTGCGGTGTGGCTTTCGAAGGGGAGCAGGAAGTGGAGTTCAACCGAAGGGAAATGGAGAGATACCGAACAAGCGTGGAGGCGGTGGAGGAGGAGGAGGAGGAGGCGATGAGGGTTGGTGGTGGAGGGACCAGCGCTGTTGCTTGCTGTCGTCTCACTTCTTTATCCTCTTTACCAGTTCGGGTGGGCGAGGAGAACGAAGCACCAACAATAGTTGGATTACGCCATTATTGGTTTTTTTGACCGCTTGTCGGTAGCTTTAAGCTTTCATTCAAAGAGGCTTTCCACCTTCACCAGATTAAATCTCGGGCTTTTTGGGGTGATTATTCCATCCTGTTCAATCCCACACCTAATCCACCATTCTCTATTCCTTTTTCTACACACTTATTCGATTTAATTATTGGATTCGGTGCAGAAGAATGGAAGGCGTTGGAGGAGTGGTTTGTTTGGGTGATTATAGTAAGCAATTAGATGTGGAGCATTTGAAGTGGCTCGGAAGAAATTTATGATGTATTTTTAAGAACTATTATTATTATTATCATCATCATCACCATCATCGTTATTATAATTATAAAGAGATGGTTTTGACGTTCTGATTAGTTTGGCGTAGTTCGGAGTTATGTGCGTAGGATTATTCGAGGTGAAAACATTAAATTTTTGAAGTGTCACATGCACGAAGACCAAAGTCAGAAGTTTCTCTACTCGATCCCTTCAACACTTAACTTAAGTTAGTGATCTAAGATAGATGAGCATAAACACGGAGTGGTCAAAAAGGTAATCTTTCTTTTTATCATAAAGAAAATAGTCAAAAGGGAATCTTTTTTATGTATCATACCCTATTTTCTATAAGTACTAACATCGAGTTGATAACTAGGTTAGTGATAGTAAGATAGAGGCACGGAGTTTTGCCTAGGTAGATAAAAGTGAGCTGCTATAATCGAGTGAGGTGGTCCTTTAACTTTTCAATATTTATTCCCCTTTGACGTAAATTTTTCTTATCGATCAAAGTGGGTGCATATAAATTTTTTCTATTTAACTTTAAAAAAATACTTAGATTGGAACACATGTCACAACTTAAAATATCTCAACAGGATACGAATCGTGTGCATTCTGACATCCCCTATAGTGACTTCATCTGATCTGATTCTTAATAAGATTGAATAATGTAGATATTGTATTTGTAATATCACAACATTATACATATAATATTAGGTCTTGATCTGCCATTATAAACGATTTAATCTATGATCCTTACACAAAAGAACCACAATCTAATTTGAATTTCCATCTCATCCCCGTCAATTCTACTACTATAACAGTTTAATCAACTTAAGACTAAAGATCCAAAAGAAAGAAGAAATCAAAGTTCAGTGTCCGATGCAATATTCCTTCACATCACGTAGTGTTTCACCGCCGTATCAAAGTTCTTACGGAAACAAATATCCCACATAGTTGACAAAAGATGAACTTTTAGTGCATTCAATTAGCACCAATCATAGCTTACAGAAGATCCAGAAATGAACATTCAGCAACATGCAACATAAGCAATAAAAAAGCAAAAAAGTCATCTTGGAACACAAAATTCATCTGCTGCATTTGGTTCCATCAAATAAGATCTAATAAAACCCGATGTCTTCATCAAACTACAAAATCTGGGGCTGCTCCCAAGTCCTATCCATAGTTTCAAACGAAACCTTGTTGGGAGCGGCATGTGATAATTACTATAAAAAATGTTAGAAAGGTCGATCCGTGGAGTTGAAATGCTGGTAGAAGTAGCTGACTACCATGGGCTTCCAACATTACAATCTGCTCGAAAGCACTGCAGTATAGGATAGCTTCCAATACTCTCTCCAAGTAATTTGCATCCATGGCATTGTGGAAGGCATATGAGTTCCCAAAGTAGATGGAAACCTGCAGGAATACTCAAGCTCTCAATCCAGAACAACGAGGGCAAGTAGCAGATGAGTAAATGAATGTTATCCATATCACCTTTGACCGCTCAGCATTCCGCGTGCCACTGATGTGCAAAATGATGGAGAAACCTCGGAAAATATATCAGAATAATAATGTCTAATAACTTGGCCTGCAATTAATTGTATTCAAAATTAGTACTAGTGTTTAATTTTAAAAAGAAATAAAAGAGTTATACTCTCAAGTTTTACACACAAAAAACAAAACAGTAAAGACTAAACAATAGCAAGAAGCTCCCTTTTATGTGCTTTAGACCAAACTCTTTCTTTCCACAAATACTTTCTCTAGAGTGTTAAGCTAAGAAGCAGAGCTGGTATCAATTTTCTGATGAATGTCAAGAATCTATATCCCATTTTTGTTCAGCATCAGCAGAAGAAGTATGTCATTATTTGCTCAATGGAATGAAAATATGAACAATCAAGCTTGAATCTGAATATTCCCCCTCACTTAGCATATTGATGGTTCCAAAAGGTCATTGCTGCATAGTTAACACTTCCACCGGTATTCTAGGTTGGCCCCAGCTAGATCAATGCAGTTTAGTTCGCATGATCTGTTGACCAGCCATCACTAGAATTAGGCATTTAGCCAGAAATTTCCACCTTATGTGGATTATCTTCCTCTTGTTCATTTTTCAAGGACAACTTCTTTCAAGGGATACAGTCAAACCAAAATCTTTAGTTTAATGCTAAACGCCTTAGAATGTTATTAACACTATTTCATATACTACTGGTATGGAAATCTTAGTTATGAGGAAAACAAGGCAAATAATTTAACAAAGCAAAAAAAACTGAACATTTGACATATACAAGAATGACACGGCCCTATGATGAATTTAGTGATAATTAAATATAAGTTACTTGTATGCACAAAAGTCCTTTTATGCAGTTAATAAGTTATATTATATATGTATGCTAGACACAAAGTTGATCCAAAAAGACAAACTCATAGTTACTGGTCAGTGTCCTGCAACAAACTACAGACAGATAAATACAGTTGCAATTTTCAAGATAATAAGGACAAATCGTGAAAAAAATTGTAGTTGTTTTACCTATTGTAGCATAGTTACTGCAGAGAACTGAAACCAAAGATTCTGATCCTCCAACAAAGAAATCCTTGTTCCTTATATCAAGGTAAGTAGGTGAACAAGCTTCAACCGACATTTCATAATTAGCATATTTGATTCTGAACCATATTCCAGAAGGAAACCTCCTCCTACTTATGATCCATAGTAATATCTCGGCATAAGGAGTAGCGTGAACCAGTGAAATAATGATCTCAAATGTGATGCACAGGGAAAGAATGGCAGTAATCAGACTGGTGAAGAAAATGTAGAATACGGAAGTAGTTGGAATCAGCAGCAAGAGTGGTGTAAACAGAAGCGAACCAACAACAACATGCTGCTCAACCGTGTAGTCATAACTATCCAACCGCTGCCTAAGCGGATTTCGCTTTCGTCCACTGCCATTATTTAAGCAACATGGTCAATTCATTGAAAACAAAAGAAAAAGAAATAAAAGGATCAGCAGAATCTAATGGAAAGCTAAAATGCATTCATGTATTCATCTACCGTGTGGATCTATGCATGCATCTTTGTACAAAGTTTGGCATATCAGAAGGATTCATTACAAAATAGGAACATTATAAACTTAGCAGGCACTGACCTTTATGCATGTCCATGAATGCAGTTAAAGAATTGACATGATAGAAAAATAAACTCCGAGAGAGAAGGGCAATATAGGTTCAAGAAAGATAGTAGCAAGACAAAATATGCAAAGGATCTTTCAGTGACATAAAAGCTTCTTGCAGAATCAATCTCCTAAACTACTCATCTTGATACACAACTAGTTAGCAGATTCAGAGAATTTTATTGCATCAACAAGGAATGCACTATCCTAGTGCTTTTAAAACGAAGTCAATCTCATTTTATGCTCATCCAGATGGGTTAAGAACACACCCTACATGGACTAAGGTCTTAACATGCTGTGAGTTTTGTGATTAAGCCATGTGTCAACTCTTGGTAGCATATGCACTACTTGGAATATCCATGTAATTATAGGAAATAGAAATTCATAATCCAGATGCAGCATTCCATTAAAAAAATCCTAAAAAGCCTCAAGCTGATCAAGAAGAAAGTTCAGAATCAACAAGGAACATATTTGACCAACAAATCCTTCCACCATGACAACTTGGGAACCAAACAATACTTTTAGGTTCCACAAAAGTGAACACAGCAATGAACAGGAATTAATGAACATGTGCTAGAGTATTTGTATAATGGTGAGAGTTGCAACCAAAAGGGTGTTGTTCAGCTCTGTGGAGGTTACACCTCCAATTTAGTACATGTTCAGATTATCAGAAATGACTAGTTTTTCCATCCAGCATGACTATTGACGCAAGAACCAGAAAAAATGGTTCCTTTTAGAAAATTAGACCTATAAAATGAGTATATGTTTGCAGAACTAGACTCTTAACGGCCATTTGCTCCTTTGAAAGGTGGGCTTTGCTGTCATGCTAAGGTTGCAACCTTTTGATCATAAAGGCTAGGGAGTTGTGGAAACAACACTTGGATCATGGAGGTAATAGTGGATATCATGAGTTTCAAACATCCTCCATCCTATCCAGCTCCAAGGTCATCATTTTCTATCAATGGCCGCTCCTAACCTCAGTCTGTCTGTTGATCTTTAACTCAATTACACAAGCTCAGATTGGTCTTGTGCCAAATGGTAAAGAAAGAGAAGAAAATAAGAAGAGAGGGGCAAAGGATGGGGTAGGTAGAAGAGAGAGAACAGAACTACAAGAGGAGAAGTGAAAAATGGGAAGAAAAGTGTCAAGCTAAAAGGTCATTTGGTTGGTTGATGATCGTCAGATGGTTGACAACTGATAAGTGAAAGAAAATTATGAAAGTTCCTCAGGTTTGCAGGCATAGAATCATTTGAAGGGTTACACACATCATTTTCTTTTTCTCATTTCATTGTACATCACCATGGTGAGTTCAATGGTTTAAAACGATCCCACCTTCACAATTCAACTTAACATTATAGCAATAATTAGTGCATCCAACCATCTAGATTATGGTTAAAAAACAATTCTAAATCTAAGATTATGTTTCCCAATTGACATGGCTCATTGATAAATGCTTTTTAAACAGTTTACCAACAATGACAGTAGCAGCTTTGGTAACTGGAGTTTACTATAAGAACTACAAGTGAACAGAACCATTTTCAGACACATATGGAGAACTCTAATAATTCAACCTATTCATGGTGGACAGCTATGATTATTGACTGTACAAGTTTACTTAAGAAAGTGAAATAATCAACTCATATAATGTGAAGTATTTCCCACAACCAATCAACTGCATTAAATCACAATAGAGATCTTACCGGAATAGGCACCACAAAGAAGCCAAAGCCTGGATCTGTTGTGAATAGAGAAATGATATTAAGTAATGCAGAGCATAGACATGCAACGTCACAAGTTTAAGCATGTCAATGCACAAAGCTACTGGTACCGTTGAGCCAAATACAATCCCCAATACTGCAAGCACCTGAATGTACAACCGGAGAAAAGCACCCAGAAAGAACCAAAGGGTAGAGAAAATTTGAATTGCATTGAGTGAAATCATGCCAACAAGCTCTGCTAACTCATTATTCAGCTTAAAACCTGCTGGAACACCCATCAACCACACACAACCCGAACGTAACAGATCATTTGTTAATAGACCAACAGTTACCAAAACCCATGTACAAATAGCTTCAACATTAGTCAACAACAGAACCCCAAGAACAGTTCCAAAGAGAACATCCATCAAAACATTAGACCACATGAAGTGCTTCCTTAATGCAGCTTTGTGAGCATACTCAACGTTTGGTTTGGAACTACAGATAAAGTAGACACTATAACATAAGAAGAACTCCAGGATCCAGAGATAAGAGAAAAGTTTACTTCTATCATTTTTGTTTACCTGACACCAGTATCTTGGAGAAAAATTGGCCAATACAGAAACTGACAACTGCGGATGTGCACATTCTCCCATGTATGCTTGAACATCTTTGGTAATACAAACGATAATGTTCTAGGTCTGAAACTCAAGAGCTTGTTGAATAATTGAAGGAAGATGTATACAACAGTAGAGATTGAAGCCACAAGTGCTGCCACCATATGCCATACAATGGATGCCAATCTAAGCAGTCTGAGAATGCATCAGAAGAAAGAAAGAGTAGGTTTTAGTTTTAGAGAAAAAAAATGCCAAGGAATTCTTTTTGAGACAAAATGTCAAAAAGAATCTTACATTGACATAAAGAAGTGGCTTATAGGACCAGAAATGCCCTTCCTTTGCTCCAGCAATATTTTAGCAGCATTTGCACAATTGAGTGCCATCAGAACTCTGTTCTGTAATTGATATTTTAATGATGCAGAAAGATACACTTGATAGGAAAAAATTATAAAATAAGAAGAAATTTGGTAATGTAGAATAGAAATGCTCATGGTCATACCAAATCAAGGAGTAGGGGTTTCTTGTGAAGTTCATTTACCCAGTTAGGCTTCTTTAACGGCAAACCAACACACTCAGGAGAACGCCAATAGCTCAAAGATAAATGACTTGCACCATAGGTTGGGGGTTCATAGATGATTATCTGAAACAAATGAAAAAAGGAAAAAACTTCACAGATAACTGATGACAAATTAATCAGAAACAAGAATGACGATGTTAGGTATCCTGACTTACATACGTGGACATCAACAGGAGACAGAACATCGCCATTGTGATGTATATGATGCAAACATGGGATCTGTTTGTTCTTATACAGGATTCTTCGAGGTTTACAGAAAAGTAGGATCCAATAATCACAACTCATCAAAGATTGCCTGTGAGGTTCTACAAGCTCCTTGCATCCACAGTTCCATCTTTTGTAGATATCACTGGATGTCGCTTCTAGATCGGATTCCTGATTGCACTGTTTCTTGACAATATCACAGATATTTGCTTTTACAGGTGAATCTTTTACTCCAAGACAATGTAGATGGTCTTTTGTCTTTGATGGATTTTCATCATTTTGATTTCCCACTGGTTTCAGTTTTCTATCAGGGTAATCTGCAGTGTAGTATCCAAGCATTGAAAATGTTGAGGACTCCCGAAATCCCACTGGCATGTTCCCATTCACAGATCTAAGGATTTCCTAAATCGATAAAAAATAATCAGAATTGGCGAGTGATTTTTAGGAAGATTCAATCATCGATCCACTTAACCAAAGAATGAACCTTAATAAGGCAATTAGTTATAAAGTTGATTCTAACAATAGCTCTAACATGACTAGCATAATCTTCTGGCCAAGAAAAGGCAATGCATATAGATGTATTGACAATAAAGATAATAAAAGATACTTTCATGCTATGTAGGTCATGCAGTCATAAACAGGATTGGGTAAACCACCAGGCAATTGCTTATAAAGATTTATATTAGTTTAAATAATGATTTGTATCAATACTCAGAATCAAACAGGCAATGTTATTCCAAAAGATCCAAGAATTTCTATGATTTGATGCAAATTCTGCTGCTCAAAACTGATGGTCATCAAATCCAATGCAAGCAACTCTATAAACAATTAAGAATAAAGATGCTTAGCATGAACTATCCAAACCTACTTACCAGATTTTTCTACAAGGTCAGTCATTGCAACGGCAAATAACAGAGCTGTCAAAGTTCCCATGAAAGGATATCTTATAAACATTTTTCAGAAAGAGAAAACATACCTAAAAATATAGACTAGGCATATAAAAGTAGATGATTGTCTCGCTCAAAAAACAACTATGTTCAAGTAATAGATATGCTTCATAAAAATGATAAAACAGTGAGCCATTAACAAGTGAAATGGGGAAGTGACCAGAGAAGCAGGATGGTATGGTAGGAATAATTACACAGATGATGCTGAAAAATAAGTTTGATGGTCATTATCTTTGTCAAAAACAAACATAACTTTTTCTAAGACATCCCAGGATCACAACCAGACATGCAACATCTTCTAACCAAAGCTAAAGAACTTAAAGATAAAATCTCAAGCCATCTAATGCAGCTCACAGAATTCCAGTGCATTTATAGAACAAAACCATACTTCTCAAGTTCATCCAAAGGTAAAGAAATTTAAGATAAACTTCTAGGCCAGCCATCTAAAGCAGCTCACAAAGTTCTAGTGTATTTATAGAACAAAGTGATACTGATCAAGTACATCCAATAAACCACAACCCCATAAACCATATGCAACTAAGAGAAATGTTTATTTAGTCTAATACATATATGAATTTTGGACTGAATATAGATGTGGACTGTTTAATTAAATGCTAGATTCAACCATGCAGAGACCAGATAACTCTTAGTTCAAACATCTCGTCAAAGCAGATACTTCTTTAATTTAATACACCTCTAAACCTTCTTTCAATGGAATATAGCACTGAAGTATCAATTACTGCTATAAATTATAATTTAGAAACCAGCAAATGGAAAGAGAGCAACTTGAACAAAGAAGTTATATACAAGTCAAGCAATCTTTCAAGGGCACTTTGACCTAATAATACTTCCACAACACTATAAAGCAGTGATCGTCATTTCGTCGAGACCAGTATGTAACGGGTCGCACGTACCAATACACGGACCCACCCCAATCTGGTCCACTGTATAAAAGGGAATTGGGAAATTCTAATTCCCACTTCTCATGCAAGCACCACCTCTGCAAGGCTCGCGAGTGTCGCCTCCACCTTCGCCTCCGCAAAGCTTGTGAGCGTCACCTCTGATGCTGTGATTGATGCTTCTCATGCAGGCGGCTACTGGCGACCTCCGCTAACCGCGACCTCAGGTAAGCCTCTTCTCTTCCTCTTCCTCCTTCCTTCTTCCTTCTTCACTTCCTCTTTATCCACCTTTCTTCCTCCTTTCTCCACCATCCCTTCCTCTTCTCCCGAAACATTGGTACTTACCAATGTACCATGTGTCAATACACCAGTACAAATCGATATATAACAGCCTAACAAATCTCTGAGTCAAGTTCGATACCCAGTTTGGCAAACACTGCTATAAAGCGTATTCTGAAGTAGAAGTACAACATATTCAATAGCTAATTAAGGGCTCAGAGAAGCAATGAGGGCCTCTAAATTACCCAACAAAAAAAACCCATCTGATGTGAGCTTACTTCCTGAGGGTCTGAAGAAAGAACAGAAAATAAAAATAAGAAAAGGGCATCAACTTGCTTAAGAACTTCACAAGCTTGCAATGACAAATCACCTTTCCTATAAAAAATTGGGAATACCGATTTGAATAGCCACTCACCATTTAGTGGCATTCGAAAACTATTATAGTTTCAGCACATTCATTGCATCCTGTATTCCATAGTTCAACATAAGTGAGTAATTTGTGACAAAATAAGCAAATATGTGTCCTCAATTGTACAATCTGCTGAATTCTTGTCTTCAGTTGCAATTTATGGATGAATTCCTCGACATGCTCAGATTTCTTATGAAATATAACAGACAAGTTGCTTATACAACAGAGCAAAACTCTACAACAAAAAAGAGAGCCCAGTATGCACAAGGGAACTTGTCATAAAGGAGATGTATACCATGACTCAAATTTTAGTCACCCTAATTGTAAATGAGCAACCTCACTACAACATCAAGGTTCCCCCTTTATAAACTTTATATCAATGATTGAAATATCATACTGTACTGGTGTATCGAGCTTTGCTCGGTACGGTACGATACGACGTACAGAGCGATATGCCTATATATATATATATATATATATATATAATATAAAAAATATTTAAAAAAAAGGGATACGTAGCCTCGACGATGTCACCTCCTCCTCGTCGCCTCGTCTGCACCATTCGGTAAAGAAGACCACGAAGACGTCGAAGGTCGTAGATGTCTCCAACCTTCGGCGAAGAAGAAGGCCGCAGAGTCGCAGACGAGGCAATGAAGGAGACCGCCTCTTCCGCTACTCTAACCGCCGCCTCCCCTAATCACCGCACCTCCAGATCCTCCTCTTTATGACTCTCCTTGCCGTTACCTCCTAGATCAGGATCGTCAAGGGAGGGCGGTGCCAGATCGAGATCGAGAAAGGGCGTGGAAACAAGTTCGTGCCAAGGTTCTCCCGATTCTCCCTCTTCTTTGAACGCCCTCCCCTTCTTCTTCCTTCTTTGATGCTTCTCCCTCAGCTAGGCCACAGCCAAGCTAATACCGCCCGGTGGCAAGCGGTAACAGTCAAAATTTCAATCGTTACCACCCGAAACAATCCTGTATCGGACGAGCGGACTGCCCGCTACGCATCGGTTCACGAGCAGTACGATTCGAAATCACAAACCTTGCTTTATATCATCGTGTGATGTAAATGTGCTCAAACATTAAAGATGCATAAATGACAAAGCTAAGAGAATCAGTTCCAGCATTTCTACCTCAAGATTAGTCTGAAGAAGATGGACCGAGAGATTCAGTGAAGGAATTGCAGCTGCTACAACAATGTCAAGGGAATTTACAGAATCCATGAACCAGCCAAAGAGAAACAGGTTGGAACTGGATGTGCAAGACAAAAATTGTTCCGGCCACCATAGCCTACATTTTCTTCTCGTCATTGTTATCTCATTACCATAGCTGTAAACAGAATAAATAGAAGCTAAAGTGAGCATCAGGAAGACATACCTCAAAACTGAAAGAAACATGATCAACATCAAGAAAAGCACAACCCTACACTACGTAACTCAGATGGGAGAAGAGCATCAGATCCATGATTAATGAAAACAAACGTCATGATAACAATGTGTATCATCATAAATACAAATAAGAAAACAGAGAATGCTGTCAGAGTAATGCTGTGGGGTAAGGTGGCTGCAGTGGAGTAGGAGGAGGGAGAGGGTTGCAGTTGGGGGATGTAGCGGAGGAAGCGACTGCCGAGAAGGAGGGAGAGGGATGCTGTCGGGGGCTGCAGAGGAGGAGGAGAGGGAGACGAGTGCTGTCGGAGGTTGCGGCGGCGGAGGAGGAGGAGGGAGAGGGCGACGACAAAGGAGGAGGAAGAAGAGAGAGAAACCGAGAAAGAGTCCGCCGGAGATAGCACTCGTACGAAAGCCTCTCCCCGGAGGAAGATGCCGTCGCCGTTCGCCGACGAGACGAAAACGCCGCCGCATAGTTCGTCGATTAGGTTTGCGAGCGCCTGGGCTCCGCCCAATTAAAAGCGCCGGACAACTTACCACGTGCTCGGGTTTCGCCTAGGCGAGCGCCCGGTGACTTCACTGCCTCCATCACAGATCTAGCGTGGCATGTCCTATGTCAGAACATGGAAATAGAACAGACGCAGAGAGATCAGACCGGAGAGGGAGGGGAAGGAGTAGCAGATGGGAGAACCGAAGGGAGAGAGAGGAGGGAGGTGGCGGCAGCTTTGGTTTCTTCACCGAGGAGGGAGGTCCGAAGGGAGAGAGAGCAAGGAGGTGGCGGAAGCTTTGGTTTCTTCGCCGAGGAGGGATGCGAACCGTCGACTGGAGAAGGGAGGGAGGGAGAGGGCAGCGATCGAAGCGGCCGCTGGCGCAGGGAAGGGAGGGGAGGGAAGAGAGACGCATACCTGACAGTGAGAATGGCAGTTCCTGGGGACGGTACTCGGAGAGGAAGGAAGGAGCCGGTGACCAAGGAAATATAGGTACAGAGCCACGGGGAGTCCTTTCAGGGTTCTTATACAAATCTGCCCCTTCAAGAAGCTTATGTATCTCCCTACCCAAATATCGTACTTAACAATAAATAAAGATATATATACTAAATACTTATAATTAATATATATATATATATATATATAATATCTATTGTCTATGATTATGATTAAATAGGTAAATGAAATAAAATCCTTTAGATGAAATGGTGCTTTAGATGAGGACTCTCTGGCTTCGTGGAAAGTTGCACCTGAATCATATCACGTAGCGTACATCCTTGGTGCAACAGGAGCACGTCCCATACTGCGTCTTGAACCTATGAGCTTTGAGTTTGCATCTTTTACTTCCTTCAGCTTACATCCCATCGTCCCTCTTTCTCTGTCAACTTGAATGCAAATTAGACATTCTAAGATGAAGTGGTTGCTCATATTACTACTAGACGTAAGCTTTACTTTAGGTTATACCATTTGTATAATGCCTACAAGTGCCAAGAGTGCATGTTAGGAATAAGATGAGAATAAGCAAGCTGCTAATCCTGCATGCATCAAACTCCAACATGAAAATGAGAAAACTCCCAATCTCTTCCTCTCATTCCAATTTATTTATTGCAAATCAGTGGAGAAAGTGCCATTACAAACATTCCTGACGTCTCAAAAATTTCTGCTAAGAATACCTCAGCCAAAGAGACCACGATAACCATGGATTACATCTTTGATGAAACTGAGAGTTGACCGCTTAGAAGTTGATGGCACCTTCATCTTCAACCTGGTTTATTATTATTTCTACACTACGGAATAAGCACGAATCACCTCAACAATGGGTGCGCGGCACAAAGGGCACTTGCCTCCACCTTGAACCAACTCATTCGCGCATCTCGAACAAGTGCACATGTGCCCACACCTGGATGGAACAGAAGAAAACAAAGAATAAGAACCGATCTCTGTTGTCTATATGCTCTTATTTAGATGAGTTTTCGGAAATTAATACCTGTAAAGAAGAGAATCGATATGACTATCACAGCAGACACAACAAACCCCTTTTCTCACATTACGCCATTTTGTTCCATCCTGTGACGACTCCTCACCTTCACATGAAAAGATTAGACTCAACTTTTCAGCACTAAGCAAGCAGTACATGAGATCCAACAACAATTTCAACAGAAAAATAAGTTCTTCCATAGCAACGAGAAGCAAAACAAAACATCTCTGGCCACGAGATAGCCGAATACCAATCAAAACTCATGCTTTTGAAGTGGGAAAGAAGAGATGCATTCCTGGAAAAGCAAGGGTATACTTTACGAAGCAGAAGCAGAACAAACAGAGTTTGAGCAGAGGCATAGTTGGTTGGCTATAGGCATCTGTTTAGAAGTTGGTTAAAGCATGTTAACTCTGCCTGCTGCTGTAGCCATATGTGGCTGATGACAAACTTGCATAGGACACACACACAAGAATTTGATGTGTAACCTAGTGTTTGATTCCAAAAGGACACAGAAATATGTGGGGGAAGGATAATGATAAGCAAATAGGATGCTTATGCAAGAATGCTGTGAAAAATAATACACTTGGAAGTTTAGTTCATAAGAAGCCATATATTCATAAGAGATTTTTTTATGTTGATACTTTTTCATTCTTCATTCTTCCTATATTCATCTTGATCAATTTGAATTTCTTGGGTAAATGACCCAATTTGGCACACCCTTTCATTTGAAGATCCATTGCTAGAAGGCAGGCTTCATGCCTAACACCAAAGATATGCATCTAATACTCATATACGACCGATAACTCCATGTTGTATTCATAAACTAAGCAAGATAGTAGCACAGAACAATTATGATCTATCCTTAAAAAGTGTACAGCAATCTTCGACATGCCCCATGATAAATAAATCTAAAATGTAGATTTGAAGCATTCTCCTAATTTATGAAAAGAAGGTATGTTACTAAAAGGAAGCTACTGACCATGTTCTCCAACAGAACGATTCAAAGCTGCTGAGACCTCTTGTCTAACAGCACGCTGCAACTCTAGCTGCATATCCATGCATGCCTCCAACATCCGCTGCATATTACTCATAACTTGCTGAAGCCTAGCCATGTCAGCCTTTAGATCATTAATCATATCCCATTCCTGCACCAATAAAGCCAGATGAGTTTCAGAATAGAGAATCTCATGTTTACATATCCAACAGATAAAATCAAAATAGTAAAATAACTACTCAATCACATATCATGCATTTAGAAGAAAAGCATAAACACAGAGGTAACAAAAAGCTAGAGGTTGGAATTAAAGTTCTCTTATAAGACATGGAATCTAATCATCCATAATGAATTGGCATGTTATATCCATACAATTCCAACATGATCTAAATAAATCATAGGATCAAAGAAATAAAGCTCACAACTTCTGGGCGGCGAATGCTCTGCCGACTCCAACTATGATGTAAGTCTGAGTGCCATGGCGGCAGTGGAGGTGGTGTTGGTGGCATTGGTGTAGCATGTAGAGGCCTGGTAACAGAATCGCGTTGGCCATGAATTAGATCTCTTTGCTGGCTCTGATCTTCCCCTGGTAAAACATGGTTAGGCATTGTTCTTTCCATGTCCCACTGAAATGGATCACGCCCCTGCCTCTGTATATAGGATTGTACAAGTTGGTCTAGACTTTCACGAAACCCACTGCGAAGAAGATTAGATACACTTCTCCTGCAGCGCAAGTATCAAATAATTCCAATAGCTGAAGACCCAAGATATCAGTTCATTACAATTTAGCCAACTATATAATATCAGCAAATACCTGCTTAAGAGTTCACGAAGTTCCACATTATACACATAATCACCATCTTCTGATGAAACAAATGTGTTCCTTATAACAGGAAAAGAATGTTGCTCATTGAAGGAGTCCGATGGTCCATCTTGCCAGTTTGCTTCAGTCACTTGAGAATTATCTTCATGCCAATGCTCATGTGCTTCCAGAAGATGGCTATCTCGTCCATCTTCATCTTCAGGGGCATCATGAAGCCATTCTTGGTCTTCATTTTCATGCCAGTTACTATTATGTTCTTCGATAGGGCCATCATGCTGTACAGTAGACCCCAGTTCAATAGGCTGTTGTGAATCCCTTTGCTCATGTTCAACATCATCTGCCAGCCAATTATCTTCCTGAATTGCAGACCCTCTCCCGACCATATCACTGATTTGCATGCTGCTTTCCATCTGAAATGTAGTATACACCTCTTCTGGTTGATGTCCATCAACATTAGTATCATGTGCTCGGAATTGATCATGGGTCTCATCCAATACCTCCATTGTGCTTGAGACAAAGAGATTGTTACTAGATACATTGATGTTATCAACATCAACAGATTGGTTGCTTGCTTGACCTGTGACAATACCATCAGATTGGTTGCTTGCTGGACCTGTGACAATACCATCCTCTCTGGAACGAAATCCTTCCCTAGAAACAAAAATTGGATTTATCAACTTTTTGATAATCCTGATGACCATCTAGTAATATAGAAGTCAAATTTTGCAAATGAAATCATCAAGTTAACAATAGTAACAAGTCACTGAAAGCAACAAGATCCATATGTTACAGACATAACATGTGGTACAATGCTTTTCATTGCGCATCATCGCATGCAAGAAATAATCATCTCAAAAACTTCACTCTCATATTATATAGAATTGTTTTCTTGCTATAAATGCATTCTCATTTAAACTGTGATTCTCCAATTAGCATCCAGTAATTTTGTCATCACAAGGCACACAAAATATGCATTTCAGCACACTATGGCCTATTTCAAGACATAGTGATTATCAATTGAATATAGAAGTCAAAAAGGAAAAACAAATTTGTTATGAACCATTTAACCACTTAATTTATTGATGACAACATTGTTTTCATTAAGCTGCAAATCTTTCAGGGTTCAGTTAAATCAAGTGAGTGACTGGTTTATCTTGCCAAAATTTGCACAGGCCAGCTGGGATAATTCTGACTGATACATGTTAACCAACAACGTAGGCTTTAGGTGAAGTTGGAACAAGCTATCCCACAGAAAGCAACCAACCAGATACTCATCAGTTAACCAGGTTAGACTATCTTGCCTTGTCTTGACACCACAAGTTCACAATTCTTGCTGCCTCTCAGGTCTTGATGATCAACCCATTTCTAGTAATTTCTTCCACAACTTGGAAGTTGTAGCACAATCCTTCTGTGATTATTAAACAACATTTCTTCCATCACTTAGAAATGTTGTCCAGAATTTTGTCCCAAAGATTTTATCATATGAGGTGGCTATTTCACATACCTTACTTGTGGAGCCCACAAGTGTTTGGCATGGTGTCATCAGTGGATGTCCAACCTCACTTGTGGACTCCATAGATCAGCTTTGTGAGATAGTCCCCACCTCATGAGAAAATTTTTGGACAACTTTGGTTATGTGAATCTGAACTCCAGAATGGGAGTGGGAGTCTTCCCTACAATCTCAGTGTTAATGATATCAGCTTTACTTGCTGACTTTTTAAAGCAACTCTAGATCAAAAAAATCTGATAGCATGCCATAGGTATCCAGCACAATTTAACACATAGCACGATAGATCAGCATGTGCCTGTGTTTCATACTCAACTATAATGCCTGACATATGCTCAAGACACAAGAAACATGGTCCAGCTCACTTCAATTGTGAGTTTAACAATCATTATATAGGCTGATACTTTAACAATCACTTAACAATTTTGACATCAGACAACACTTGCAGAATGATGATAAAGGTAAAATCACCCTATTACAGCAATGACAAAAGGAAACCATACCTGAAGCCAGATACCGTATGATGCTGTCTAAGTTGACCTAATTCTCCAGCTGCAACTGAATGCCGCTGCCCATCCTCGACTGGTCCACCATTTCTCAGGAATCTACCTCGGAGTACAGCCTAGAGATTTATAATTGTTAAAATTAATAAGTTGACATAATTTAGTTTCAACAACTTGTTAAAAAGTTATATATAATTGTAAAAAAATTCATCCTACCTGCAAGGATTTTATGTTATATGAAATTAGTTTACTACCCAAAGTTCTTTTTATAAGAAAACATACATTTATACAATGTGCTAGTATATACTCAACTTCTCTTCATGATGGGCACATGCTGTTCATTCAAAAAAATAAAAAAATCTGCTTTCATTTACAAATTCATTAAAGAACTAGCTAAAGTTTGTGGTGGTCCTAATTACATAATGCTACCTGTGGGCACACCAGGTGATCTATGGTATAGACATGCAGATCCTATAAAATAAATAATCCCTTTTAACATCAGCAAATTTATCTAAGCCTTTAAGAAATTTCCATTCAATAGGTACACAAACCAAAGTGTCTTACCTACCAGAGGGGAAAAAGTAAGTATTCATATGAAACTAATTAAAGCCTCATCTTGCTCCTCAAATGTTCATCCAAGTAATTTTTGTTAGAGATAGACAACAGTTCCATAAAAGAATACATCCAAGTTTAAAGAAGTTTCTCGTTTAATATTTTAAGCTTTAGTAGATAAGACAAGTTCCCTCCTCAGCAGTTCAATCGAAGCATACCTCTACATGTTAGAAAATATCTGGTCTAAATTTAAGTTTTTAATAGACAAGACAAGTTCTCTTCTTAGAAACATAAAAAGGATTACATAAGTTGTCAAAACACTTGATACAACAGGTACTTAAGTTATCAAACCCTTGAATACTACATAACACGGCGAGATGCTGCCTGACAACAGTACATGTCTCTAATTCAGGCAGACAATTGCCGAAACATTAAAATTTTGGTTTCGTTGATATGTAGTAGAACCCAGGATCAGAAATGAAATTCTGCACAGAACAAAACATGGGACCTCGAATTAGGTGAGGACGATTCTTAGTGCACTTCTTCATTATCTAAAAGTTTAAATTTCATGGCAGAGGACTGTATCAGTTATATATGCCAACACAACAAATGCCAATGGACATGGATCCACATGAACTCTGTAACAAGGCAGCAAAATGTTATCATAATACAGACTCCAATCCTCACATCATGCTTACGTGCTAAAAGCTTTTAAGGGATGAATGGGCACAAAAAATATATATCAAATCTATGCTTGCAAACTTACAAAAACTTATTACGTAAACACTTATAAGTTAATTTAATGTTCGAGAATGAAACCAAAAATAGAGCAAATCAAAGTTTTTAAAAATAATTCAACTTTAAAGTCACCACCACCTCTTATTCACTGACAAGGGCTTGAGGTTATTGAATGATACCATATACTCCCTCCAAATTTGAATATACCAAAAGCAATACATTTTAAAGACTCCAGGGACCAGGCTAAAATTAACTCGATGGCAGCACACCTGAATACTTATGAATACCAAAAACATATATCATAGCTACTCAAGGCTTTTTACGCTATAAATAATCAAATGATTTTATATGACAAAGATTAATGCAAGTGCATTAGTCATGGCAATTTAAAAATATAAAATTATCGATAAGTTTTCATAATAGATATTCAAAGCCTGATTGATTGACCTAGGGAATCAAAATATAAAGAACTAGGGATTAAAAAAAGTATAAATCACTTATGAAAATTGTATTTTACACCAAAACGGAAGTAGTACTGAAAAAATCTCTTAATGCACAGTACATATCTTGCAATATTACCTTGAGGAAGCTTTTCCCTTTTTCATAAGAAATATGCACAAATAACAAAAAATACATACAAAGCTCAAAACACATGTTCTCAATGCTCAAGAATAGGGTTCGTTGTGCCTGCCTATACTAGGTGGTACAGGTGGTACTTACCAATCTGATAGGGGATCGGTATATGGATCGCCCTATACCGAACAATCCATAACAGGGGACCTCATATTGCTCGATACGGGGTTCGTACCAGTCAAAACGATCGAAATCCGATCGTTACTGACCTGTACTGATCGATAACGGTCATATTTCAATCGATACCGATCAATGGCTAGGATTTGTTGAATGTAAATGGTTCATTTGATCGTTTGAACCAGAACTAAGGGTTTTAAAACCCTTTCTACCCCTCATTTGATCGTTTGAGGGTGATGCATGAACCGAGGAATAGTATTTTACGCATGACACTCGAGATTCAGATCCTAGAGTTTGATGAGGTACTGATAAGTTTATACACGGAAGGGAAAGAGGAAGACAATAGATGATTTTGGATAGATGTGACAGAACCTACACGACGTGGATATAGAGTGGAGTTTATCGTATTCATAGCTATCGTATTATAAAAAATCTTATGACCAACAGTAGTACGGTGATAGTTGATCATTTTTCTCCAAGCAATAGTACATTGATCGATCTTATGATGCAGAACAATAGATCAATAGCAAAAGTAAAAGTTATGACATTCTCCCACCTTCGCACCAATACATGCCACAATCGTATTTACTTCAAGAGCCGCCTCTGACACGTGTGATTCACAACGATCAAACTAAAATCATCATCACATTGATGCACCAATGACATATGATGTATTAGCATATTATGTCATGGGGCCAATTTCAGGATTGGGTCCAACAAACATATCAAATTGATATATATATACATAGGATCAAGGACCATGATCAATAGCCTATAGAGTTCCGTTGTTTTTTTGGTGGTAGAACCAAGTATGTCCATCGATCGATTAATTGATTCTTAAAGTTTAAGTTGTTTAACAAATAATCTAACAATTCAAATCATTTCTTTGTAAATAATTCAATATTAACATAACGACGATTCAAAACATATCACAAAGTTACTCCTCAAAGTTCGAAAAAGATATGTGCAGCTAATTCTTTCATAATTTAAATTATTTTTACTAAAATTATTCTACATTTATATTTATTTTTGACTTAAAAATCCTAATCTAACTTTTGTATTTTTCGAGAATTTTTGGAGCCATTTTTGATAATTTTTCTGTGTCGTTAATACGCCCCGTCGTACCGATATACGGTACATCGATAAATAGTGGTACATACCATACCACCAACTAGTCGATACATCGGTATGGACCGATAAAGCGAACCCTGTCAAGAGTAAAATTAAACAAAACAATTCAAAAAACTCTCTACACTAGGTTCTTCATATCAAAGTGTTGAAACATTTTAGGCACTAGGAACGTAACAAAATTTACCAAATATAGAATATGAGTTCTTTTCGGCTAACACAAACATTGAACATCAAAGCAAACATTGAAAATACATATAACAATCAAGAAATGAAAGAACTTCTTCAGAAATAACCTACTCAGAATAATATATAAACAAAGAAATGATAAATGCTCAGATTTAACAAGGATAGTTAGTGGATCATGCGTAAAGTAGGATCTACTAAGGTCATTTCTGATGCATATGTATCACTGTAATAAACAAAAGTTAATTACAGTTAGTACTGAAATTGAAAGGAATCAGATCGATACTATTGGAACGTGGAAGTACACATACAAACTTAACATAATGTTGACTACCGATAGCAACACATAAAAGGAATGCTTAAAACTAGCAATAGTTTCGTTCAAAGAAAAACAATTGATATTATACAAATTTCAGTAGTTTGAGAACAAATAGTACAAGTGCTGACCTGTATGCGATTGCGGTGGGCAAAATGTGAAACAGGCTGGTGCTCTGACAAAGCCTGAAGCTCCCTTTCCCTCTCCCTGACATTTCTCATGATCAGATCAAGGCGAGCCTGCCTTCCACGGAGCCTCAGCAAGTTCCTCTGGACATGTTGTCGTTGACGATTTTCTTGATTTGCAACCAGACCTTCCCTATCCCGTTCCTCCCTCCTGCTAGCCCAACCATCCCTCTGCTGGCTCACAGTTTGCATCCACTCCCTGACCAGCCTCACCCTCTCACGCTCTCTCTCATCAAGCCACTCACTCCTTGGGCTATCACTCCCTGGCAATATTTGTGATGCAGTGTCTGTCATGTCTATCTCTGTCATCCACCCGCTAACAATCTCTCGCACCCTCTCCCTCTCCCCATGACCACCACTTCCAATATCAGGAGACTGCTCCCTGCTTGATCTCCAATCCTCAGAATCCTCGACCGCACCTCGCCTTCCTAGAGCCGTCGGCCTATCAGGCCATTGAGAAAATTCGCTAGCGTTGATCTCGCTGGCAACGTCCAAAGAATTCCTCCGCACCATAGGGTCATGGGTTTCCGGCGCACTACGGTGGTTGTTGGACGCGGTGGTAGGAGAGGGTGCAGGACTTCTCCGATCCCCAGCGATAGACTCATCCTCCAGCTCGCGCCACATCCGGAGCACGGAGGAGGCACGCGCAGCCACGGGGCGCTCGACCGAGGACTGCGCCCGACGCGACTCACGGAGGAAGGAGGCGTCGAGCATGGAAACGGCGTGGAGCCGCGCGAGCGCCATGAGCTCCGACTCCCGGTTCCTCCTCTCAATGGTGGTGATCATCTCCTCCGCCTGCCGCGCCGCCCACCGGCTCAGGATCCGCGAATGGCGGCGAGCAGCGGCCGACGTCTCGGCCAGGTCATCCCCCTCTAGGTCTGACCGGCGCCGGCGGCGGGCGAGCTGGTCGGCGCCATCGCCGCCACCAGCGCTAGCCTCCTCCGCCTCCTCACCCACGCACCCATCCCCTCGTCCTCCGCGCAGCAGCAGCTCCTCCAGGCCGCGCCGGCACCCCCGATCGGCTTCCTTGTGTCGGATATCCGCCATTCGTCCCTAATCCTAATCACACAACACCAAGACCGCCATCAAAACCTTCACATCTACATCACGCAAATAATACTACGGATCCGTCAACAGCGACGAGGAGGAGAATGCGGCAAAACTCGGAAAGTTTCGCGATCCATTTACAGGGAAAACGATCGATTAAAGAAACGAGAAGGGGAGAAGAGGCAGCACTGCCGATGCCAAGAGGACGGAAGGAGGGCCGAGAAGGAAGAGGAAGACGAGAACGGTGGCAGAAGCGAAGCGGGGGAACGGCCGCGTGGATTTTGTCTCTTTCTTCCGCGCTTCCGCTCCCTCTTTTGTGGTGATGGCGAAAGCGAAAAAGGAATCATCGGATGGTGATCGGACGGCCCTCAACTCATCTGATCAAGCTGGTGGTGGTGAAACCCTGTGATGGTGATGCAACGGCTAAGATTGAATGGTTATAATGATCATGATACGTGTCATTGGATCCACTATGGAGCAAGATAATTTACAGAGATAATATTTATTGTTCTATATCAACATGATAGAAAGGATAAAATAGGCTCATTGAATTTTGTCACAACATAAAAAAATCACAACAGAAAATATTTTTTTTAAATCGTTAATGATTTGAAATATTTTATAAAAAATTATATGATGATGCTGTTGATGATGATAATACGAGTTTTTATTTATTTCGTAGGTTTCATGTCGAAAATTTTTGGATTTATAATAAAGAATGGTTCTTATTATACGTCGAGATCAAGATCAAATTGAGTAGATCGATTTTAAGACATAAAAATCAATCATAATTATACAATCGATCGAGATAAAGAATTATGATGATAAAAGAGAGAAAGGGTATGATATTTTGCTCCGATAACATGTATTGGTGTATGTTTGGTGGCAATCACTTAAATGATGTGAGACAAGATAGATGGTGATGGAGATGTCTTTAGCCTTTTGGATTGCTTTGAAGGCAAATGTGGCAGATAGGAACCCTATGTTGATAATTACTCACAAGGCAGCTGAATTCTTGATGTGGTTAATCACAATCATAAGAATTGTATAAATAATATATAAAATCAAATATTATAAATAGTAATTATATATCTAATTATTTGTAATATTATAAATAGTAGTATTGCAATTAAGGTAAAAAAAGACAACAATCAAAATTCAAATAAAAGAAAAAAAGTAGAGATCATGTGGAATAGAGTTTTAATTATTGAAAATATCGATCAACTTAGTCGGTAAAGATTTTAACTTTTAAATTTTAATACATCTCCTCTTCACCATTTATTTCAAAAAAAAGTTTTAAATATTGATAATGATATCGAATGATATCATAACATATATTTTTAAAAAAAATTTCTGTGTATTCACTGATATTGAATTTTACAAATCAGTGTATCATTAGATTCCCAAAACCAATCCTAAAAGTTGTGGAAACTTCTACCAGTATAATGCATCATATTTTACTTTCATATCCACTTATCATACATAGCATTTTTAAGAACATGTTAAGAGCAACTTCACCAAAAACCCTTCATTACTGCAACAAAAAATAGCTAGCTAATAGTATGAAAAATGTTATGAATTAATGCCTCTTGGTTGGTTTGCATTCAGTCATACAACTTAGAAAGTTCAGCTTAAGGGAACTGCAAACTACATTGTATTCTTGGATAAGGTTGATAGTTACTGCAAACACTTGGCACTGAAGAAATGCTCTATTAAGACACCACAACTGCATCACTTGATATCTAAAAAAGATCACCAATATGTTCTTCAGTGCTCCAGCTTAATAATTAAGTTCTAAGCTTCTGAATGCATCTTCACAAAGTAAGTAAATCATTGAAAACACATATATAGTTTGGGCAGTAAACCAGCAGTTGCAGATGCAGTAGATATTGATGAAACCTTTAGCTCAGTAGAAGAATAGAAACTTATTTGAATATACCATAAACTTCCAGATTACCTCAAATTATGATTCTCTTTCTACATTGTGTTATTTCTTACAGCTGCTTTCTGCTTCCTCATGCAAACAGCAGCAATTAACACAATCAAAGATAATGCTTCCTTTTGTTCCAGATGGAATGATGACAGACAGAGTACAATGTGCTGCTAAAGCTCCTCATTTGGCATGTCTTAAACAAAGCATAATATACATTCCAACAATGACACTCGATAAGATCCACCAGTCTCAACATGCTTGGTTGGGAAGTGGTTTAAATAGTAGTATGCTATCAAGAGTGCAGTCCACATATTAAATGCTTTTCCTACAAGTGTTTGTTCTCGATCTACATTACCTACCGAGGAGGAAACCAGCAGCCAGTCACATCTGGCTTATGATCATTTGATGGAAGCAAAAAAGAACAACAACTTAATCCTACATGAGGCCAAACCCTAAGGTGTGGACCTTATTGGTCTCTTCCCTTTGGATGTTTCCAACACTGCATTAATCATCCAACACCATGTTGTCTCTGCCATGGCTTTTTACAGGCAGGGGGGCTGAACATTCTCATATCAGGTGGCAATAGAGCCACATGATAGTGACTAAGGCTCATTATATAAACATGGAAGAAAACATAAAAAAAATTATGCTCCATAATACTAAGATCTCCATAAGAAGGTAACTAAAAAGATAAGTAGCATTTCCATTAGTAATCCCAAAACTTTATCAATGGCAAAAGTTGTCGGCGCAGAGTGCAGAGAAGTGTTTAAACCACTCCCAACTTTGCATGAAGAGAAAGGCGAGAGAAGGAGAGAAATCTGTCACTCTCCTCTGCTTCATCCCCATGCTGTGTGTCCCCCTGCAACCCATCACCCTCTAAACTTCCCTCCTCTAAGAGCCAAAAAATAATCTCACAATTGATTCTTTTCTCCCCTGCAAGCGACCCCTTAAAGAGGGGGAAACAATGGGGAAGATGGACCATTCCATTGGTCTCTTGATGGAGGTGTAGGGTCACTTGCTTTTGTGATTTAGATTGTGGATCTTAGTATAATCTTCCTAGGTTGGATGCTTCCTAATTCCACTAGCACCACTACTACTATTCCAAATGATGATAGAGTAACTTTTATGATATTAATTTGAAAACCAATACCTCTCTAATAAATGTACAGTAACAATACTAATAAATCATAAACTCTTAATTACTTATTATTGACATTGGTAAAATATTGTATTCAAAAAATATTTTTTAAGTCCCCGTCTATTCTTTTCTTATTATTATAGTAATTATCTCACGTATTTCAATTACGATATACATATCGTCTTTACCATCAGCATATATACCTTAACATCCATTCCTAAGAAAACAGATTAATCGAACTAATTAAAATTATTAAAAATAATTTGAATTAAAAGAAGGAAAAATTCTAATAACCATAACAATCATTTAAAACTGCATTCTAAAATGCTATGGTCAACTGAGAAACATTAACTAAAATGAATGGATATTTTTTTGAACATTTTGTAGTTGTATTAAAAAGTGTCCTCCCCATGAATGTTTATTGCTTTGGAACCTATTTGGAGTCCTAACAAATGAAAAGAAAATCCAAGTTGGTGATAGAACAGATTGGCCTCCACAAGTGCCATGATTTGTGTCCACTTGCATGCACATTGATAGCAAATCTAAGCCAAGCAACATTTGTGTCACTTTTGTAGAGGCACATAATAAACTCAAATGCATCCATCCACAACTTTACTACTCCACCTCTTAAAAAATGGAAGAACATCGGACATCATTATCAACTTAATCATCTATAAGTGGACCACTTATACTCCTCTTAAAAATGCTAATGGGTAAAGCTTAACTATATGTTATTCTTAGTTGGTGGACCACTTAAGCTAACGATAATCGTTCTTAGTTGGTGAAACGATTCGTCTAGTTAGTTAATTTTAATAATTAAACGAATCTCAACCTACTAACTATATTATATTGAACTAGAGGGATTATTATCATTAAAATTATACAAAGTTTGAGGAAATAATATGCTTATGATATAACATTTTAAATCATATTTGAGATAGGCTAATATATATATTTTTTTTCAAAAAAAAAAGTCTTCACTATGTCAAATTTCTCCATAGTGTTTAAGTCCAAGCTGAACTATTAATCATGGTTTTAGTGGAGTCAAAAAAAAAAAAAATCCATGCATGTTGTACCCCTCCCACCAGTCAGCATTTGTGATACTAATTCTACATTTCCCAAGAAGCCAAATATAATATGGAATGTGACCCCCAGCTACACTGTTGGAGACTCTTGAAGTGAGTGGAATGATAGGTCAAAAGGAGAATTGACTTTAGGAGACAAACCAAGCTTTTATATGTCATTGAGAGGGTCCCTGCTCTTCCTGAAGGTCTTGGACGCAAGGGATGTTGAAGAAGAGACCAGCATCATAGGTATTGCTGATGCCCATTTCTGGGAAAGGGACTGATGGCAGGGTGAGTTGTGCTGTGACTTCTTTTCTCATGGTGGACTTGATGTGGCTGTACACAGTCTTTTTGTTGAATGCATTGATACTGTGTGGACTTTTCTCTAAATTTATTGTTTTCCATCAAACAGTATGTATACAATGCTCACATTACATAGTAACCATTAGGATATCTCCCAAGATATGATACTGTATGAATTTAGATGAAGAGTTGGCAGAGACCAAACAATATGGTTAAATAAGTCCTCCTAAAGAGAGCACACTTAAACTATAACTCTTTTTTACAATGAAGGTTATAAGTAACTAAATTAAATCTGGAATGTCTTCAATGTTCACAAGTAAATTTTACATGTATCTTATGCATTTAATATGCATTCAAGTACCAAGATAATGTACAAAAATAAAATTAACTATGTTGAGATGAGTAATATTAGAGAAATAAGTAGACTCATAGTCATCACATTTCTCATGCATTTCTCATGTCACTTCATGCAATAATAATAAAATTGATTGGCTAACTAGGCATCTCATAGTATTATATTAATCAGACTCTTATAAATCAATCTTAATCTTATCTATTTATGATGTGAGACTAATAAGAAGTGTTATAAAAATAAACAAATGAATTAGTGCTCACATAAAAGTTATTGGATTTTATGTATATTAATAATCATACAGCACTAAATTTTTTTCTAGAAGCATTTTGGTGAGTGGTTGAACTAAAACTTATGTGATGTTACGTTCAGATGGCTTCCCCCACACGGAAGGAAGAGTTGGGGAGACAAGATTGACCTGCACGGCAGGGATCCAAGTTTGGCTTGTCCTAATCGTGGAGGCAATGACCAAATTGTGTTCTCTTTTCATTTGGGATCCACAATTCCCTCTAATCAACACAAGAAACTACAATAAAATAAAATGAAGATATAATCATCGATTTTGAAATCTATGTATGCCACTATTCCATAATTCATTTGGAAATAAAAGAAGAAAGGAAAATAAAAAATGACAAAAAAATAGAAGCAAAAAATCTCTCTCTTCTAAGGTGTCATAGGTCACATTGACCACTGTGAATGCATCGGCCCAAAAATAAGCCCGACGAGTGTTAGTGGGCCCAAAATAAAGGGGCCAAGGCAAGCCCAGTCTTATGTAGCCCAACCCATCTTAGGTGTTGATATTGACTGGAAATACACCATTCACCTATAAATTATGTATCAAGATATAACTATACAATTAAGAATTCCTATACTGTCTTTGATGAGGGTAATAATTGTGATAAGACTCACGTGATATCAGTTGCATCAGGTGACGCATTTCGCCCCTTTCAACCTAGTGAGCCACCCGGTCAACGCGGACCGGAACGCCTGCCGAGACACATTAACACCCTGATCAGGCTCGATCCCTCACGCCACACAATGACAATGTCAGACGCTACCAGAAGTACGATCCCGCTCCCTGCGGGTAGGCACATCATGCAACGGTAATTCTTACTATAAAAACCCTTACGCTCTGAGGAGCTAGGGGAGGAAAAAAAGCTAAAGAAATCCACTACTCCCCACACTAACTCGATCGTCGGAGGGGTCGGGCCGAGCTCCCCGGCCCGACCTTTGTGCAGGTACAAAGGCCGAGATCTCTCGCAAAACGCCTAGGCGAGGAGCCCCCTACCCCGAGGAGATGGCGACCCTGTCCCAATCGAACCACCGTAATCGACCATCTCGACAGTCCCAAGAAACGTCCCAAGGAGATCCCCCATCATCTAGACCCGAACCAAGCAGCGTCGGCCCCGAGGCCACGGCTTAAAGTTGTTTACACTAATAGTCTTCATACAGCCTACCAACCTTCAAATTGTATCCGAGTCATGGATGTTTGTATAAGAAATGTTCTACTCCTTTCTAAATCAATTAAGATTTCCTAATTTAATTGAATTATTCTCTTGTCTCTTAATCAAAATAAATAAATAAATAAAATAAACACATCTCTCTCTCTCTCTCTCTCTGGGTGTTGGTATTGACAGCATTTATGACATGCACCTCGGACCGTATCCCACTATAGAGCTACCAATTATACAACAAGTTGCACATTTAAGACGTTCTATACTGTCTTCATACAACCTACCAACCTGCAAAGTGCATCAGAAATTTTTGCATGCCAATACATAGCTAAAAACACACAGTGCTTTAGTACAGATTTTAATTTAGTGCTCAACTGGCACACAACAAAACATAATGCAACAGTGATAATGTGTTGGATGTCCTTGACCACAATAATGCACCTAGTTAAGATGGCATGGGTCAACATATGTTGTCACCACCTTCTTCTTGGTTGTTCACTGCTACTTTATGAGACTCTTTGGATGCATTATGGCCAAAGGTTTTCAAGGGGAAACTGTGTTTACAGTCTCCTTGGCACACTTGAATGTGGCAGTGCTTTAATTCCTCGGAGCAGGCCAGTGTGGTTCAGCGAAAATTTCTAGGTTTCAGTTGAGATCATAGTGTCAGCAGAAATTAGACGATGGTACCGTAGCCACTGCAATGCATCTGAAGCAAAACCCACTGGGAATGGTTGGAGGTTGTTGTCCTCGGTAGAGAAGCTATCAATGGCACGAAAAAGTAGATGGAAATATGGTGCTGTCAGCTTGAGCAGCAGCAGGAAGATTACTAGGCTTCAAGTCTCTCTTTGCCATAAAGAATCAACACCAAGGAAATAATTAACTCAAAGTCCATTATGGTTTCACCTTGTCTGCCCAACCCCTTCTTGAATGTCACACACTCGTAAAAATGAGTGGGTGGAAGGTTAAGAAATTGTCCGCTTTAAATGTCTCTAAGAATAAAGATAATTCAGCACTTGTAAGATTTAATATATTTATTAATATTAATTCTTTCTACTCTAATAAACTAATACCGGGGATATATCAATGTCTCTCAATGATGAAATTATGATTAATCATATATGAAAACTTAATCTTAAATCTTAATGGCATATAGTTACATAATATTTGTTGTGTCAGGATTAATCTATGGTGCAAAATATTTACCCTAACAACACTAAGGATTGTGAGCATAATAATAAATGAATTTGTAATCAAGGATCGTAATTTCATACCGTATCGGAGTTTCGAGCGTAACTCGGTACGATATAATATAGAGTACCGAGCGATACATCAGGATGTATCGTTCGGTAAAAACTAAGGTTTCCTTCTCCCCGTGTAAAAAAGTGCGACGAGGCGATGTTGTCACCTCGTTTCTTTTGCTCCTATAGAGAGAAGAAATGTCGCATGGATGACGCTCTGTTTCTTCTCCCCATAATGTCGCCAATGCTTCTTCTCCCTACATGAACGAGGAGAAGTCGTCAACGACGTTGAAGCCCATCACCTCATTTGAGGAAGAGACGACATCTCATCTGCGGTGTCCGACGAGGGAAGGCGACGATGAATCGAGATCATCAAGGGAGAGTGGCGTCAGACTTTTCTTTTCCCTCTTTTTTTCTTCTCCCTTGGTTCTCCTTCGGTTAATACTACCCGGTAACGGGCAACAACAGTCGAAATCAACCGTCACCGATCGATTTAGGATGGTAATGAGGCGAAAGCAGTCCCAATCGACGATATTATCCAGTAGCAAGCGGTTCGTGTACTGGTCTACTGGCAAACTAATACGTACCGCCCGATACGAATAGTATTATTTGAAATTAAAATCGTTACTCGGAACTAATAAGAAACTTTCCTATATACACGGCAAATGGTAAAACCAAGTTAGGCTATGGCCATTATATACTATACTGAATCAATGAAGTGCCATATGTTAGATTATTGAGGTGTCACATCTTTCAAATAAATCCTTGACACTTGACCAGTCCCAGGTCAGATTATTAATGGAACCTGCATTGTAGTTATACATTAAACACTCAGACTTAATCATGGTGCTACCATTGGACCCGAGTACGCCAACCATCCAATCTTAATTTCTGAATTGAATATGATTCAGGTACCACATGCTAGAACAAAATTAATTTTAAGTGGGTCTTTTGGGATGATTGGTAAGCATTTAAGATTGGAGGCACTTGATCTCGTGCCACCATGAAAGCATGCATACCATATGGAAGGTTTGTTCAAAGAGATCGCTCACTATCTGAGATTATAATAAGATGGATCGAACTGTATAGTGCATCTTGTGCACTTAGTTTAAGAGGAGAGTAACATCAGGTGGATGCCAAATGGATCAATTTTCAGAGAAGATGGAGATGGCACACAATATATTCTTTTGATTTTGAAAGGATTGTCATGCAAGTGATGATTCGATCATATGCGATATGGTATGGAATTTCGAGAATTAACGTGGATATAAGAGGAGTGAAAATAAAAGATATTAGGACAAATTAAGAAAAGAAAAGACTATTGCATGGTCGAAATTAACGTAATGCATGCGGGTTGGCTTCAGCACCAAGCAAAATGTTACGTATACCATCGTCAACAGGTAGCCACCCAACACTGCGGTTGTTGCAGCAGCTTAGATCTCCCAAGGTTTGGACTAAACTTACGAGTGGAATCACAAATATATAGGGATGATTGTAATAAATGATTTGCAATACCCTAAACCATCCACCACGTGATCTTCAAATGAAGGTCTAAGATTCAGTCAACGTTTCTGATTAGAGTTGAAAGGTAGCTGAAGTCTTTCCAGTTATCCATTCGATCCAACACTCAATCCTTGTACTTCGTCTCTTTGGCTGAGTTGGTCACCCAACTCCAAACCATCGCACCCAAAACACTCGATACAAAGAGCTGTTGGCCAGTTTTATCTTCCCCTTCTCTTCGTCCCACCCTCTCTTACCCTCCTCATCTCCGTTGGCCTCCTTATATGCATCTCTCTCTCTCTCTCTTTCTTTCTCTCTCTCTTTATTCCTCTTCTTCATGGGGACAGTCCCATTAAATAGTGGCAATAAAACTTTGCCATCCAACCAATCCTATTTACGTTCCCCATCACCCCATTCAATGCCTCTATTTATATAAGCCTTGTTTCCTTTGAACAATTAGGTGCAGCCACTGAGATTAATCACGTACCCTTCTTCCTCCATGGCGGGCACTGCAGGAGTACTGCTGAGGTATGACCTGGATTATGGATCTGATCTCTTGTTCCATGTTTAGCCGTCTCAGATTGACCCCAACGTCCTGTGACGGCAATAAATGGGAGTTCGAGTTGCAGAGAAGACCAGCTCAAGAAAGCAGTGCTGCTGCTTATGAGTGAGAGAGGGAGGTGGTAGCTGGTGGGAAGAAAGAGCACAGTCTGGCCTATTAAATGCCGCTCTGCTACTCCATCACCTTTCTATAAATTTTCCACCTTCCCTTACCCTCTTCTCCATCTCTCTCTCTCTTCTTTATATTTTCCCTCCACATTACCACCTCTGATCTACACGCTTTCTCCCTGTGAGATGGTGGTAGCTACCCAAGATTAGCCACCACCATCAACAGTACGTCATATTCCTTCAACAGGTGATACCGAGTGCAAGCGTGTAGTGGAGGGAGGCAAAATGGAGGTGGCGACGGTGCTGGTGGTGGTCGCGTGCATGGTCGCCTACGTGGTGTGGTTCACGCGGCTCGCATCGGGACTGCGCGGTCCGCGCGTGTGGCCGGTGGTGGGCAGCCTCCCCGGTCTCATCCAGCACTCGGAGCGAATGCACGAGTGGATCTCCGACAACCTACGCGGCACCGGCGGCACGTACCAGACCTGCATCTGCGCGCTCCCCCGCCTCGCGCGCCGGCAAGGGCTGGTGACGGTGACGTGCGACCCGCGCAACCTGGAGCACGTCCTCAAGAACCGATTCGACAACTACCCGAAGGGCCCCACGTGGCACGCCGTCTTCCTCGACCTCCTCGGCGACGGCATCTTCAACTCCGACGGTGATACCTGGTTGTTCCAACGCAAGACCGCCGCGCTCGAGTTCACCACCCGTACCCTCCGAACCGCCATGTCGCGGTGGGTCGGCCACTCCATCCACCTCCGCCTCCTCCCCATCCTCAAGGAGTCCACCGCCGTCGATCTCCAGGACCTGCTCCTCCGGCTCACTTTCGACAACATCTGCGGCCTGGCCTTCGGCAAGGACCCCGAGACGCTCGCCCCGGGCCTCCCTGAGAACGCCTTCGCCACCGCCTTCGACCGTGCCACCGAGGCCAGCCTCCGTCGCTTCATCTTCCCGGAGTTCGTCTGGCGGTTCAAGAAGTGGCTCCAAGTCGGCTTGGAGGCCACGCTCTCCCGCAGCGTCGCCCACGTCGACTGCTATCTATCGGCCATCATCAAGGCCCGCAAGCTGGAGCTCAGGGACGGCCGGAACTACGACGACCTCCTCTCGCGGTTCATGAAGAAGGGCACCTACACCGACTCCTTTCTCCAGCACGTGGTGCTCAACTTCATCCTCGCCGGCCGCGACACCTCCTCCGTCGCCCTCTGCTGGTTCTTCTGGCTCGTCTCCACCTACCCGGCCGTCGAGCACCGCATCCTGCTCGAGCTCGCCGCCGTCCTCGGGGAATCCCGCGGCAGCGATCCCAGCGCGTGGCTTGCCTCCCCGCTCGCGTTCGAGGAGATCGACGCACTCGTCTACCTCAAAGCAGCCCTGTCCGAGACACTCCGGCTGTACCCGTCCGTCCCCGAGGACTCCAAGTACGTCATGGCCGACGACGTCCTCCCCGACGGCACATTCGTGCCCGCGGGCTCCTCAGTCACGTACTCCATCTACTCCGCGGGGCGGATGAAATCCGTGTGGGGAGACGACTGCCTCGAGTTCCGACCGGACCGATGGCTCTCGCCGGACGGGAAGCGGTTCGAACCGCACGACTCGTTCAAGTTCGTCGCCTTCAACGCAGGACCACGGGTCTGCCTCGGAAAGGACCTCGCGTACCTGCAGATGAAGTCCATCGCCGCTGCCGTGCTGCTAAGGCATCGCCTGAGAGTCGCCCCCGGCCACCGCGTCGAGCAGAAGATGTCGCTCACCTTGTTCATGAAGAACGGGCTAAGGATGGACGTACAGGATCGCGACCTCACCGCTATGGCCGATGAGCTCCGCACCACTCGGCAGCCGCCGGAGGTGGTGGCGCCTGCTGAGGCTGCGGCGGCAACAGCATGAGCTACCGGTGCTAAGAGCAGTGCTGTGGCGGCATTGAAGTGTGGCGAAATGTAGATAGAAAGCAGGCAAACAAGTTGGTGTGAGTTGGAGAAGAGAAAGAATTATTGTGTCTTACAATAGATTTATTTGAAGCAAATTCAAGTATTACTGATTGAGGTATGGTTTTCAATAAGAGCTGTTCTGAAAGGGTCATAATAAGTTAGGAGAACAAGAAACATTGATATAATGTTGGAGATCATGTTGTGTTTCTTTTCATTATCTTGACAGACGGGGGATGCATGCAATGCAATTTTAAAGCATGGAAAGCTTCAATGTGTTGTTGTATGAACTAGCAGTCCTCTATGCTGCACTTAAATGCTCTGCTTCAAGAGCAATTAAGCTGAGCATTCACAGTTTTAGCAGCTCATTTAGACACAGCCATTAATGGCTGATACCCCCCACAAGCTGTTCATTCGATTCGAGTAACCATGACTGAGGTTTACCAACCACGGGAACATCGACAAAGTCGACTGTGACCTGACGTCGTAATCAAAGAAAAGGACTACGCTAACTAATTTCCAGTGAGCTTTCCATGTTGAACACATGAGTCTTCTTTAATGTTCCTCAAGAAAAATGATCTGCACTTGTCCTGCTTGTTGAGTTGAGGCATGCTAATTATAAATGACAGCATGATCAGTGCACCGATCGAGCAACATTTAGTGGCAGAGGACTGACTAATATCGAGGGAAGTATGCAGATCAAATCAAAACCAGGGGAAAGAATACATTGTGAAGAGAGAAGAATAGGAAAAGGAGCTCCCAAGTAGAAAGAGAAAGTGTGCCATTAGATCAAATTGGTTGATAATACCTCATGCAGATCAAATCAGAACAGGGTAATTGTGATCATTCAATCATCTTTGTTTCTGTGAAAATGAAAACACATTAGTGTATAGATGATTTCTTCTACTAGTATCATGCTGAACAAGTAGTACATCTACTTAGCAGCTCAAACATTTATTTCTATTAACCTAGTCAATAGAAGAATCATCACAGACTTGATCATCTTCTTCCTGACCCCCTCTTCTTTACCTCCTCTAGCAGATCTTTACCGTGACACATCTTAATTTTGTAATGGTTTAATTGTAGGCAAAGGTATTATTATATGTTGGTATTCTAAGAACTTGTTTTCTGTAAAGCACTTAAGATGGCCCTTTACTTCAAGATAAGCCACTGAATAAGAGCCTCTATATGAATGAAACATTTGCTGTACTTAACAGGACTTTCATTTGACTATATTTGTGATATTCCCATTACTTGCATATGGGTTTGAGATGTGACTTTGATGTCTCATAGCTTCTGAGCACTCCTTTTCAAAAGCTTGGTGGTTTCAGGTTTGGATTGTGACAATGTTTCAAATTGTCATCTTGTGTCTCTTTCATAAATATATACTGATCTCAGAAAATTATGGAAGAAGCTGGTCTAGGCTGCTTCATGATATGTCTTAAATGTTGTAGGTTCAGTGACAATGAATCCAAGACAACCACCTCCTGTCATCAATTACACCATCCTCTCTCTCTCTCTCTCTCTCCTCCTCTCTCTCTCTCTCTCTCATTTTCCTATCTGATTTCAATTAAATCGAAACCGAAATAGAACGAAACAACAATAAATGATAGTCTATTACAATTAAATGGGATGTTAAGATAGGAAAGAAGACAGTGTGCAATTAAAAGGTAAATGAATTGTTAATTAAGAACTAGTAGCAAATTAGTGTTGTCAAAAGTTAGAGTAGTCTAATGTACGAATGAAAGGAGTAAAAATACAAATAAATAAAACAACTAGAGAGGAGGTTTGGTACTGGTATTATCAATATTCAAGAATAATATATCATCAAACAACCAATAATAATTCTAGTTTAAATGTTTGGTTAGTATATAATAGTAATTTATGATTAAAACAAAAAAAAAATAAAGGAAGAGATGGTGTCGAAATCTAAGTACAAATAACTCAACAAATATTAATAAAAGGGTTTATTCCCTCAAAAGCCCTAAATTTTCATTCTTTTCTCCTTCAGGAATTTTTTTTTATTTATTTTGTTCCCGGAGAGCATCCCTTATTTCTGAAAGATGATATGATCTTTGTATGATCGATTACTATCACCTTCTTTTTCGAGTGTACTTAACTACTACTCGCTCCATCATCTCATCATGATCGTCTCGACTTGTTATAAATTTATTATTTATAATTTTTTTAAAATAATTATAAGTTAGAGGCAAATACTCTAACGACAATAACATTGATGCATTATCAAGTAATATTAAGATTGCCAATGAGTGATAACAAATCCTGGCTTATAGACGACGTCAATGATAGTGAACAGCAATAGGTCTAATAAATTATAACAATTATCGAAAAATTATTTAAGTGAGAGCGTCGTGATGAGACGAAGATTAAAAAGTAAAAAATATAAAGATGATAAAGAATAAAAATTGCTTGAAACTAAAATAAAAAAGAACGAAATAATAAAAACACGAGATTAAAATTTATCTGCAGTAAAATATGTTAAAATAAAAATACCAATATGTAAATAAGCACGAAAAGTATAAAGCGGTAGCGGGAGAAACCAACTGCTCTGTTCCTAGTTTCCCCTTGGTTTTCCCTCACCGCGATCTCACAATCCGAAGATTACTACGGCTCTTGGCGTTTGATCCACATCGATCATCATGAGCGTGCCCTGAATCGAGATGGTGGAGGCGGCGCGTCGTCGGTGGCGGTCTTCGTAGATCGAGAAACTTCTCGGCAAAAGATTTTGAGTGAAGTTCCCTGGACGCGGCCGCTGGACTCGCACTTTTGTTCCCGAGGAGGAGAGGATCAGATCGTGGCTAGGAGATCCATGGACGGTGCCTGGAAGTGTCTTGGCCATTGCGAGATGAGCCGATAAAGCCTATTCCCACTGATCGAGGTACGCACGCTTCCATCAAAATCAATTTTTACGAGAGCATCTGTCGGGGTTAGATCTTCCGGAGATGATCCCCCAGTTTTCTTTCTAGGGTTTTCTGATGATTATCTAACTTCAAAGGATCATTACGCTGGTTAATTTTATGAGAGCTTGGAGGAATTCAGCACAAGGGTCATCTTCTCCCCATCTGCTCTACGGCACCAAAAGGATAAACCAGGTTAATCTCATGGAGTTCTACCTTTTTCTAGGATTCAGCAGTGGAACATTGATTTCTTGCGGATGATGTTATGGCAACAACCTGTGTGACCCAATGCTTATCCAACTACAGTTCAATCATTGTCCTTGCAGTGCGCCAACCTTACCACAGTATTCTAGGCGATGTCCTTTTCCCTTCCATTGATTGATGCAAGCATCTGTCACAGGTTTGCCCATGTACCAGGTCTTGTCTTGCTTCGTGGAGATTGGGAAGAAAGATGACTCGTGAAGTAGCAGTAAGATGGTAAACCCATTACAACGACACTATGAGCAACAGTATGTCACAAGTACATAAATGCACAACAGTGGAACCAAAGAGCAGAGAAAGAGGTCTCGTGAAGCAGCAGTAAGATGGTAAACCCATTACACCGCTACTTAATTTACACGCTTGATTAGCAACAGTAGGTCACAAGTTTATAAATGCACAACAGTGGAATCAAAGAGTAGAGGAAAAGAACATGAAAGGAAGGCCACAACAAGATCATCAGCAAACAGAAGGTAGACACCTCGAAGGGAAAGTGCTCAGGATCTGTTCTTGAAGGGGATGGCTCTGATGACTACCTGGTGGTAGATGGCAGCAAGGGCAGCTCCAATGAAGGGACCAACCCAGAAGATCCACTGAGGAAGCAGCATCAGAAACACAAAATTTACATCAGAATTGTTGTTGAAAATTGGAATTTACAGCTTAATTGTGCATCTCTTTGCTACTATCTCACTAAGCTGAACATGCTTACATGGTCATCCCAGGCATGGTCCTTGTTGTAGATGATGGCAGCTCCCAGGCTCCGAGCTGGGTTGATGCCAGTGCCGGTGATGGGGATGGTTGCCAGGTGAACCAGGAAAACAGCAAATCCAATAGGCAAGGGAGCAAGGAGCTGTACATCCAGACCAAAATATTGAGGAGAAAAATTATCTGATCTAGTTCTGGTCTGCAAGAAAAAGCGACGAACAACATGACACCAGTTCTACACGGAGCAAGGAGCACTTACAGGCACATGGGAGTCCCTGGCATTCCGCTTGGCGTCGGTAGCAGAGAAGACTGTGTAGACAAGGATGAAGGTGCCGACAATCTCAGCACCCAGGCCGTCACCCTTGGAGTAGCCAGAGGCCACCACGTTGGCTCCGCCACCGTTGCTTTCATAGACGCCCTTCTGGAACCCCTTCACCACACCAGCTCCGCAGACGGCACCCAGGCACTGCATCACCATGTAGAAGACAGCCCTTGTGAGGGACAGCTTCCGCGCCAGGAACAGCCCAAACGTCACAGCAGGGTTGATATGGCCACCTGCACAACAAAACAGCAGGTGAGTTTTGCTGTCGGTAGTATTCTGGACAAACATGAGAGAAGAAGAACAACGAAGGATTGAAGGCATAAGTGAGGTTACCGGAGATGCCAGCAGTGCAGTAGACCAAAGCAAAGATCATGCCTCCAAAGGCCCAGGCAATTCCCTGGATGCCGACGGTGGAGCACTTGCTGTTGGACTTGACCACCCCCATGACGGTAAGGATGGTGATGTAGAGGAAGAGGAAGGTGGCCATGAACTCTGCGATTCCAGCCCGGTAGAAGGACCATGACTTGAGTTCTCCTGGCTCAAAGAGAGGGGCTGGTGGTGGCTCCTTGTAGTCCTTGTCCTGAGCTGCTGTCCCGATGGGCTGCCTCTCCGAGAACTTGTTGGCTCCAAGCTTCACATCCTCCTCCTTCCCCTCCATCCTCTCGGACTCCTTTTCCCTCTACAAGCTTCTGGAGCAACGAAAGACAGTCTGTGAAGGGAATTAAGGACTGTTCTGGTTTCTTTATAGAGGTGCTGAAGGTGAAAACAAAAAGATGGTTTCAATTTATTGCCTAAAATTGTCCATATTTTCCTTTGTTTACCATTTTGTATTACAAATCCATTGACATATTTCAACTGGTTTTACAGGTTTTGCAGGGACCAAGACAGGGAGGCCTGTAGGACACTCTTGTCCCTTTCTCCTTTCCCAACGGGTCATCTTCTTTCCTCTTTAATGGATTCTGGTCACTTGGTACAGCCATAGCTCTGTATATTTTACCGCTCTATCTGCACTCCATCTACCCTAAGGAGAAGCTATCGTCCGTTAACTTTGATTGTTTTGCTGTCCGAGCTCTATGACCAGAAGTTTTCCCCCAGAAGAAATGACAACTAAAAGGATAAAGAGACTACCGGCTCGATGTTCCTTGTTGCGCCACCTCACTGGACCACAGGACAGGTTAGAATACAACCTTTACACCTGCGCTATATTGTCATTATCCATCCATGACTGCTATATCCAATTTGAAATCTATATTATGTGAGATCAAGCATACTGATTTCTCTATGACATTTAATCTCTTCTGTATTGATATGGCCAATACCAGATTGCTGCTAATTTATTTGTATCTCCGCGCACATTTATCATCATCGGCGGCAGCAGCAGTGGAAAGACAAACAACATGATTGGGAGAAGCGACAGCACGAGTCTGGCATCATGTGGGAGACAACTCACGCCATGGTCCTTCGCCTCCGCTGGCCACATGATGTGCCCGGGCCCCGCGCCAGCCACCATGACGACAAGTCTCTCTGAAAAGGCTCGTCTCTCTCTCTCTCTCTCTCTGTGTTCTGTGAAATGTCTCTCTGTGGGAAGGCGTACGCTCTCTCAGAAAGAGGCTCTCTTTCCTTCTCTCCAAGAAAGGCCTTTTGTTTTTTTGGCACGCCTCAGTGAAGCGGACTAGACACGATGTCAATCAGCTTCATTCATGATTGGGGTGGATTCAGTTTGATTTGTGATCACACCAAATCATGAATCAAATTATTAAGAGGACAACGAGGATTGGCTCATAGCAATCTTCCAAGAATAGTTTTTTTTTCTCGTCTAATATTTAAAGAAAATAGGAAAACTCGTCTCCTAAAAGTATTGGCCTAAGCAATGTTACCAGTGACAGAAACAATAAACTGCAATATAATATGAGACTGTAGATCCAAACCTACCAAAATCACATTTTCCCCACTTTTTAGGGGGAAAACCAGAGACTCACCAACTAAAAACATTTGCTTCACACGTGACAGAAATATTTAATTGAGAGTGAATATGACATTTCGGTGACCGACGATCTAAAAATTTTAATGTTAGCAAAGTATTTATGTGTAAGGTAGAGACTGAAAAAGGATTATGATTAAGGAACAATTATGATTAAAATTTTTTAAAAAGTCATATTGATTAAGGAACAATTATGATTAAGAATTATGATTACAATTAAGAACTTAATTTTGACATCATAATCTATTTTGTATTACTTTTAATCAACTAATCATACCCCTTTATGGTTTAGATTATGAGATACAATTTTTTTTCTTTATTATGAGGCTAATAAGGAACAGAAGAAAATTAGACAAAAATTAACTTTCCTTGAGCAATTAGAAACTTTCTTACATGATATTCCACAGACTAGTGTGCTTACTACACATTTGAAACCTAGGAAGTATGATATTCCACTCAATCAAATCAAGATGGGCAGAACAGCTTATGAACATGTTGAGAAGAAAGAAAAATAATGCTTTGATGTTTACAAGAAAAATTAACCACATGATACAACTTAATGCAGCATTTTTTGTGACTACATTTTTCCTTTTCCTTTTCCTACCTTATACCTATCACACCCTGTATCCAAATTCAAGTATCAGGGAATATTTAGATGCTGAAAATTATACAAGCTGCAACAACTGAAGAACTTCAACTGTACGAGAAGAGGAAAACAGAGAGAGAGAGAGAGAGAGAATCAGATTTGCTGTTGTTGCTGCTGAAGCCATTCTTGAATGGCTGAACGTAGCGCATGATTCGGAATAAGCTCGCAGTTTGGAAGCTTCAAGTTTGTCATAGGTGATGTATCGTGACCGCTATCGATCCAGCCTTTTATAGCTTCAGCTTCATAAGTGAAGCCATCTGCTGCTATATGTGGATCATTCATTGTCTCCTGAGATTGTGTATAAACACAACAAATTTAGCATGTTTCCCGGGAATCAATGGATGGTGACTTTGCCATATTATGAAAAGAAATGACTTCGAAAACATGTCTATAGTTCAAGCAATGATAGCGGACAGTAGTTAATGCTAACCTGGAAGATCGGACAGATGAAGTAAGAAGGTATGCGGCTGTTGTCACAGGAGAATGACCTAAGTGACAGCGATGACACAGACAATGAAGCTGCCTTCACCATAGGCTCAACTATTCTCCATACCTCTTGGGTAAGATCTGGTCGGTTCTTCCTACTCATCTCCGAGCATCTTAGGCCCAAATGTGCCAATTGGTTTGCTTGCACAAAAGGCCAGTTTCCAGCAGATTTATCAATAATTGCATGCAAGTCTCCATTATCCACAGCTTCCTGTACATCTCTTGCAATGCGCAGGGGAGATTTCCCTGTCAAGAGGCGTAGGATTATGATTCCAAAGGCGTAAACATCGGATTGTGGTGTGAGCTCTCCTGTAAGGAAATATTCAGGGTCCATGTATAAAAAGGTGCCTTTGGGATTTGTCTGGCAACAGAGAGTGGTGCTGGTATTGGACTGTTTGAGAAAACGGCAGATGCCAAAGTCACCAATCTTACTCACAAAGTTGGCATCCAAAAGAATGTTGTCAGGCTTGAGGTCACCATGGACGACAGGATGGGGATTGTTTGAATGAAGAAAGATCAGAGCAGAGCATATCTCCACGATGATACGTGTGCGGACCTGCCATGTGAGGGGTGCAGAGCTGTTCGTGTAGGCAAGACAGTCTTCGAGGCTTCCATTAGGGAGGAACTCATAGACTAGAGCAAAGATCTCCGGGCAAGCACCAATAAGAGTGACAAGGTTTGGGTGCCTCACCCTGCTGAGGACAGTCACCTGAAAGAACAGACACTCACTTCGCATGAGCAATAGACATTCTTGTACTTGAACATTAGGAGGACCTCAACATTACCTCTTGATGGAACTCAGATTGGCCTTGCATACTTTGTTGATGCAGCAACTTTATAGCGACAGCTGTGTTGCGAATAAAGCCCTTGTATACACATCCGAATCCACCTTCTCCAATCTTCAATGAGTTGCTGAAGTTTTCAGTTGCTTGCATAAGCTCCAACGAGGAGAACTCCAAGCTGAAAGCCCCAGAAATGCTAGATGTCTGCTGTCTCTTCTGAAGTAGCTCTTCAGCTTCTTTAACTACTTTATCACGCTCTTGCTGCAACAAATCATAGTCTGATTGAAGAGAACAGAGAAGATGATGCGCCTCTGTGAGTTTTCTGTCATACTCTTTGGCAACATGTTCAGATTCAGAAATCTTAAGTTCCAATTCCAACTTTTGTTCGATTGCATTTTGGAGACGTTTAGAAATTTCATAGTGTTGACTCTTTAGCTTTTCTACTTCCAACTTTTCCCTTGCAAATGCTTCCTCGATTTCTTTCCTGAGTCTCACCTCCTTCATGTATAAATTCTCTGATGCTTTGGCCTGAAAGGGAAAATTGTCAACATACTGGAGGTAAATGATTGGTTTTCCATAGAGAAATTTCTAATCTCTTTTTGAGATGACTAAAATTTTAAACGATCTTTACAACAACTATGAACTATATATCATGCATTCTAAACTAATGTTATATCAAGAAGATTTATGATGGAAAAGATATACCTTTTGGTAAGCTAAAACTGCATTCAGTTCAGCTTTTCGGCGCTTGCAGGATTCTTCATAAGCCTCATTCTTCAAGTTCTCAGCCTCTTTCATGGCTTCTTGAAGTTTATTATACACATCACCATCTGACCCCAGATCTTCCTGTAAAATGGAATGGATTATTTTTTCATGTCAAATGAGGCCCTTTTTAAAATCAAAATATGCGAGAACATATTGTGCATATCACTTCTAGAAAATAATCATTTGCTGTTACATTTGGAATCTAATCACAATACATTGGGAGTGTTTACAAGAATAGAAGAGATTGCCCAATATTTCTTATTTGACAAAATGATATCAGTTAGAGCAGACCTTTAATACAGAACTGACTTATCTAAAATGTTTTAAGGCTAAAGTAATAATAGTATACTCATCATACCCTTATAAGTCAATTCATTACCCCCTTCCAATGAATGACTAAATCTTATAAGTCAATTCACTACCCACTTCCAATATAGGAATAAATTAGAGTGTTATAATAATACCATCAACTCGCTAAAACTACCAAAACATGTTGCCAAGGCTGCCTTATTGAAGAGATGAGCTTGCAATGATACTTTGATGTCTAGTTAAAGGGAACAAGAAAACCTTAAATGAAAATAACTTAAGCTCATGCAAGATTACAAACTGAACTTTGTTTCCGTTAGTTGCTTTTTTTCCTACGAGACCATGAACAAATAGATTGTGATATAGTACTCACAAGATAATGATGGGAAGGTGCAGAAGGGAGATCCTTCTCGGAATCATGCACTGAAGTTAATATCACTGACCCAGCTTCAGCCTCTTCATAATTGGCCAATGATAACATACTGAAGTTGCTAATTTCCTCATAGTTTGTTGATGATGAACGACATGAACTCTGAGAACTCCTTGAAATTCCTGCCCATGGATCAGATGGACTCCCCCCCATACTTACTCTACTTTGAGGAATTGGAAGCTCAACAGGCAAGGGAGATGACAATGCTGCCACATTTCTACCTCCATTAGAATTAGTAGATGCATGCACGGGCAGATCTTGGATATGGCTTCCATGCCAATTAAATGATTCATTTTGTCTTAAGAATGAATCTGGTGATCTCAACTGTTCACATTGGCTGTATGTGGAGCTTCGGCTAGTCATAGGTGATTGTAATATCCGAGATGCATCTGAACTAGGTTCACTGTCAAAAGAAGTATAAATCCATACATTTATAATTTTCATATAATGAAAGATATGTTACTAAAGAATAAAAAGGTTTTGCAAACAATCACTAAACAATGATCAATTTGGACCATCCAGTTTGCTTCAATGACTGGGGGAGTTATAGGAAGCATTCAATATTTGGTTCTCTAATTAATACAGGAAAATCTAACAGATATAGTTCTTTGCACATTAGTACTAACCAGATCAAAGAGACTGACCAGTTTTACCCCGGTTGTTCCCTTTTCTCTAGAAAAGCCTGTGCACTTGCACCCAGGAGATGTAAGTATTTGGCACAAGCTAAATTCATGCAAAGTGGAGATCTTCCCCTTGAATTCTCTCTCAGATATAAGGAAAGTAATTAACCAGACACACCCATGCCTTAGGTGACAATGCATGATTGTTTAGAGATAAATGCTATTTATAATCGTTTATATTCTGGAAATCTGTACAAAGGCTAAGTGGTTCTCACACAGAGACACAGGTGTGCCATCTATATAGACTACATCTTAGTTTACAGAAGAATACATGTTAATGTGGTTTAAGATTGGACAATGCCATTAATTATAGATGTTATTTTTAGACAATATCAACATCTCAATGAAATTGCAAAGGACAAAAGCATACGGAATGCAAATACTAGTAGGACTTTTTGGACTAAAATTCTAACTAATGTTATACTAATAATTCTCGACACTAGAAGGACAACCTGC